TAGCAACAGCTCACTCGGGCACACATATGTACCTAGTGTGGATAAAATTTCAGCAAACAGACGCCCACACTACTGCATATGCTGATTCGCCACTGGTAATGGGTAGGTTAGGTGTCTTCACACACCTTTTGCACTCCCAGTGGACCTCGGATTCTCCAAACACCTCGCTGGGAATGTCCATGCAGTGGCGGTGATACCAGGAATCACACTTGGCCATCTCATCACCTTCCTCTTCCAGCATGCGACATGAGCAGTGGAGCTCCACTGTCTTTGGCTTTCTTTGGACACTCTCTCGCTCACCCAACACAGGAAAACGAGAAACCTGGCAAGACAAGTTATCAGATGTGGCCAGATCTTACTGTGATCAAACCTAACACTGCAAGGGTTCATACCACTGCATATGTCAAATGCATAGGCTATGGCTAGAACCCTGCAGTCGGAACCATTGGACTATTTCTCAACGTCCATCATTACAACTTTTAGCTCAGAGCTCGGGACATGGACCATGCTCGTGATCAATTACACAGTTTCTTTGGGCACAGTCTTGTACAGACTATCATACACATGGACAACACCACTCTGACAACCAACTGTGGACACAACACACCAGTGGTTATTTCTGACGTGTATGATTTGAACAAATTCCCCAGAGTTGACTGAAATGCAAACATATTCTGCAGTGTGGGGGGCTGCAGGCCGGCCATGTCGGGGAAAAACGGAAGCAAGATCATCTTTGCAGCACAGATTATCTTGTCGGTGAGCCACCCTCTCGGAGACAAACTACAACCCTCTCGGAGACAAACTACATCGACAGCTCAGAGTGTAGGCACCATTACTTACCCACATTTCTGGGGCCTCGTTTTCTTCTTCAGATGCTGAAGATAGCACAATGCTCTCAGAGGTCTGGGGAACACAGCAATTACAGCGTTCCTGCGGATCTGAGTCATTTGTTACACTGCGGAGCGAGATTCTTTGGGCTTTTCGCCACTCATCGAGTGGAATAGGAGTGCAATCAGTCACAGGAATAAGCTCAGTGGCAGAGAACGAGGTGTTCAGAACACCTTTCGAACAGTAGAGCTGATACCGGCCAGCAAACTCCCCCACAATGCGACAGGGGGCGTGATAACACCCCATACTTCTGCTGTGAATGCAGACATAATCCCCTACTTTCATCTCGGGCTTCACGTCCTCTGAAGAGGACACTCTCCGGGGGACTTGAGACACATTCTGGCTCTAATGTACTGGAATCTGCATGTCCTCCTGGGTTACTACGGGCAGGAAACAGAGTACAGCCAGACAGACGGTTCCTGTAACTCAAGGGACAGCCTCTCTTGTGGGCCTTCCCTTCAGCTCCACACGTACAGGAATTTCTTCTGAGTCTGATGAGTCACCATCTGCCATGTCTTCACCAGACTCAGAGTCAGATATTAATTCCTCCACGGGACTGTCAGAGTGGGCCTCTTTTTTGGCATGACCTTTGTGGAAAGGGCAGTCTCTGTGGCTAGAGCGTAGGTGTGTGCTCGATCCACATGCAGCACACTTCCCCTTCCCCTTGGCGTTTTTCTTGCCACGATTACTGCCTTTCCCTTTCCCTTTTTGGTTCACCCCATCATCACACACCATTTTTTCAACGTCACTATCACCACTGCCGCCAAAGTATGTATCATGGCTGTGTTCTTTTGACCACTTGATGTGCTTTATCCCTTCCTGAACACGCTTCTTTTTCAGTTCTACTCTCCGTCTCTTCTTGGGAGTGGTCTTGGCTAACTCTAATTCTCTCTTTCTCCGTACATTGTGCTTCTGTAGTGCTTCAACAATTCCTTCAAAAACGGGAAGCTTCATGCATCGGTACAACTCCAGGAGCCTGTGATAACTAGTACCTAGTTTTGCATACATGTAGGTCAGGTTGGCTTGGAGCAACCCAAGGTTAGTGGAGAGTTGGTAGTGAAGCCTATCCAAGTATATAGATATCTTTGGACCGGAATCTAATCAATACGTGAGAGGCTTCGACTGCATTAGAGTGGCCACGTTTGAGGATGGGGTGAACCAGTTTGCTGGCCTGTGCAGCCCTCTCTGTACATTCAATTTCGTACAACAGTGCATGAAACTCACAATCCAGCTTCATTCTGGATTTGTACGGTTTTCCCTCACACTCTATTTGTTCTTAGTCACTACACTTTTTGCACGTGCAGACCCGGAGTGGGTGGAAGTCACACTTTCCTCCCTCCCACTCGTGAATGCATGTTTAGGCAGTGCTTCTAGGCGTTTCACAAATTCCTCTTGTGACTGAGCCTCCATCAAAATTGACGTGAAATTTGTGTGCGCTTTTGGTGCATTGAAGCACCCGCATGTAGCACTGTGGTTGCCCCCCTCACATTTACAGTGGAGCTCACCCAGAGCAGGAAAACTATCTTTGTACTTGTCCACCATCGTCTTGGACACCTTTTTCATTTTGTGACGCAATTCAATAATTTTTTTGTGGGCATGCCCAGCATGTCCGCCACAGATCATTATTTCGACATCAGGTAACACCTCACTGACTGCCTTGGCCGAGGAGGAGTCTGCATCCTGCCAGTGGACGGCAACCTACATTCCCTCCTCTTTGGCCCTACGAAATGTCAGGCGTGCGGCATACCCTTCGGCCGATTTGGACGTGCCCTTGTACAACTCTTCCTCTATAACATTGTCACTGCCTTTCTGGCAGAGATGATGATAATAGAGGAGAGCCCCATTCAGGTAGTTCCTGATGGTGAATGTGGCATTTTTGCTATGCGAGCCACGTGTTTGCCACGTACCATCAGCAACTGTTACTGCACGTTTCCATGACCCGAGCTCGTCTTCTTTTTATCTTTCATTTCCTGCTTCCCCTCCTGGAAAAGGGGTTGCCCAGCCACTTCGATGTCACTGTCATCTCCACATGGCAGCAATCAACCATTCGGGGTGCTGTAGAAAATCTGGGCCACGCCCTCTTGGTTGCCGAGGAGAGAAAGTTTGCCCAAATTCTCCGCCAGGCTGTCAGCATCACTTTCAGAGTCCCTAGGTGGCATGAGTGACATGGCTGCTGACATGATCTCCAGCCTCGGCCGTCTTTTGAACCAGCGTTTGGGGATCTCTCAAGTTGAATCGACTGGTCATTTATACCAAAGTCTAGCAATATCTCTCTGGAGGGGAAATGCATCTGCATGGATCCACCGCTGTCCACAACTCGCTCCCTCTTTAGATTGTGTAATTTGACTTGCTTGTTTGCGTTGTTTTGTGTGTTGTTAGTTTTTGTCTCCTTATATCGGCTACTTTATCCTATACTTATGTGCTCTTTTTGTCTTTTTTCTTTTTCTTTGTTCTTAGTGTGTCCGTGTCTGTCCTTTATTAGTGCCTTTGTAAAATAAAAATCTCAGGTTTAAAAAAGACCTATAGCTATGGGAATTGCGTCCGGCTGCTTGATCAATAGTCACTTCGTAATATTTTTATATATATATACACTTAGGACTATTAATTATGCATGTGCATATTGTGTAGCATAAAGGCATAACCTCTATTCTTACAAGCATTCCTTGCACAATGTGTATTGGTTGGGTTAGATAATAACTAAGCATGTTTATTAGCCACCCATAACCCAAGGAATGTAACCATTATGAATGTAGACATTGAGATGGTTATGCCAGTAAAATTAAATCTCTCTATGATAAAACTAGAGCTTTCCCCAAAACAATTGTGTGACCCTTTCGCTGACTAGATACCTGAGACACATTAAGTACAAAAGCACACTCTTGTTCTATATACTCCAGGTTATCTGTGAAGAGAGCCCTACACACGCTTGTCCTAGCTAAAGCAATGTCCTTATGAGCTACATCAGTTTCATTTTTCTTTAATCCTATACACTTGCCTGATTGCGCGTTCTCTTTTTCGTTGCAACATTTCTGCAGACTGAATTGAACTTGTTCACCAGTTTCCAAGGCATTTTCCGCTCACTTTATATTATACCTGCTAATAATCCTGTTTATGTGAAAGTTTGGCACAAAGGCAAGGAAGGACATAATATAATACCACCAGCACTCAGGATGCCCAGCTGTCCCAGCAAGAGTGGCCAGGCAGGAAGGGAGACTAGCGAGGACAGGAGGAGGGTGGCGGAGAATTTGGGCAACGAGGGGGGTGGAGAGAGCGAGGGATCCAATGAAAGCTGCAGGAGCGTCGAGGGGGGCCTGACGGAGATTAAGGCCACCCAGAGAGACAGGCAGCGACGCTTTCAACCAGCTCCAGTCAGAGATGGGGTCCCCACAGAGGTCTTCCAAGGAGTCCCGCATGATGTTGTCAAAGGCTGCAAGTGCAGGATGAATCAGGTTAGGGGCACAGGTGCGGAGAGTGAAGGAAAATTTTGGGGAGGGAGAGGCAGGACCGCAAGAGAGCGGTTTCCATTTGGGCTCTAATTTTGCGTACTGTACGAAGAAATTTTAAAAAGTAATGCGCGCGCGCCGGCCCTTACACGTACGTGGGGGTCGATAGGGTGTGAGCGCACAACGTCGAGAGTTAACGGACCTGTGTACATGTACCTTATCAAAACTATGGCAAATGTTTTTTCGAATAATATAGAAGAAGCGCAGACCGACGCATCTCTAGCTTTGTCATGTCAGATCAGCTGGTTGAGTTTTACCGCCGCCGCGCCCGCGCGCATGGCTGGAGGGCGCTACTTGTTTTACTCTTTGACATAAGTGAAATATTCCTTCGTTGGCTAGTTCCTTACCGTTGCTAGTCTAAACAAATGACGTAAAATACGGACGGTACACGCCCACTATGGATCACGTGACCTTGTTTGTGGGTGTGGTCGATGTTTGTTGTTGTTTACAAACACTTGTTGAGGTTTCATGTGTGTAACCCCTTTAGTTTTAGAGATACAGCATTTGGTTGTTTCCAGTGCTGGGACGTGCCTTAATGCCCCTGAGTGAACGGCGCGCCCTGTCACTCAATACATTTGGCTTTGAAAGTGACCGACGTCACGTCGACCTTTAACCTCGAACACACGCCATTATCGAAGTGCGGTGATGGAAAGGGGAAACGTGAGTACTCCAGCAATGCCCTTGGCGACGGTCCCTGCGGCCACAACAAATGTTTTTTTTTTCAGAACCGCCCACCACCAGAGGAGCCTCCAGATGCTACTCCTCGTGGCAGGAAGAGAGGGATCTCCGCCCTACTGGAAGATGTTACTAACACTGGTCATCTGGAGTATAGAATGTCAGCATTGAAGGCAAAGAGGGCTCTGAAAAGCCAGAATAGTGTTCAGGCTGCATGAGGCAATCCTGCACGAGGAGGAAAACTTCGACAGGGTCAAACTGTGAGTGTGGCTGAACATGAATCAGTACATTTACTCAATTTGGTACATGACAGATCACTACTAGTTACTGTGCATAGCAGTCTAGCTGGGTTCATTCAAAGAAATGTGTCGTTTTAGGTCCAAAAGGCTATTGCAATAAACATGATGATAACAGCTTTGCTTGAGTGGAATTGCACCATTTTGCAGGCAGCTCAGCATGCAGCCAATTGCTGTGGTTTCAACCCAGCAACTGTCAGACTCTGGGCAACACCATTACTTTCAGAAGCCTCCACCTGTTCAGCAGAAGAATTTAATAATGATGAATACATCACACAATGTTTAGAATCAAATTGCGGACACCACGACAATTATTGTGTTGACAGCCTTCTCCGTAGCGAAGACTTAGGTTTAGCTGCAATATGACCAGTAAAATGTTTACAGAATGGGTTGAGAAAGAGTATGGCACAAAAATTCATGAGAGCACAGGTTGCCGGTGGCTGAAGCAGTTAGGGTTTTCAAGGGTCCATCACCAGAAAGGAGTATATTTTGATGGCCATGACCGGGATGACGTTGTTGCGTATACAGGCAGACGTATTTGTCTAAAATGAATGACCAAGACAAAATGTCATTAACCTGTTTTGGCAACTTGGCAGAATTAGCACCAGGAGAGAAGCCTTTAATCCGTGTCACACATGATGAATGTACATATTATGCGGAATTGTGATCAGTCTTATTTCTGGGCGGATTACCACACAAATGTATTGCGGCAAAGAGCGTCTATAATGGTGTCTGATTTGATAGATGAAGTAATCGGATACTTGCGTGATGAGAGTGATGAAGCACGTGTGCTCCTAGAGACCAGCAGAGATGGGTATTTCACCAATGACAATTTGTTACAGCAGGTGGAAAAAGCAGTCGACATATATGAGAGGTCCATCCTGATGCTAGAGGGATATTTATTTTTGATAATGCCCCTTCACACCGTAAAATGGCCAATGATGCTTTGAATGCTGATAAGATGAATGTAGGTCCAGGGGGTAAACAGCCGGCAATGAAAGATACAGTATTGGGAGGTCGAACACAGAGAATGGTTGATGAAAATGGAATTCCAAAAGGGATGAAAGCAGCGCTGCATGAAAGAGGTGTAAATACAGTAGGCTTGAAGGCGAAAGAAATGAGAGATTTGCTGACTGTCCTTGAGACCTATATTCAAGAACGAGGCCATATTTGTGTATATTTCCCTAAATATCACTGCGAGCTGAATCCAATCGAGCGCGTCGCAAGCTACATGACACGATCCCTATATCTTTGTGTTATATATAGTTCACAAGTAAAGTTTACTATGAGACAAAGATATAGGATGGTGTCATGTAGCTTGGTGCATCTTTGCTGTGTAATGACCCCTTGTTTCTTCCTTTTTGGTGCTTCAAGCCATCCCTATATCACCCCTTCATTTTGAAGAAATGATTTTTCCACTTGTATAAATCACACCGACGTGTATTTCGATGTGAATAAAATCACCCCTGATCACCCTCCATATCACAAGCTTTTGCCTACAAAGCAATATTTATTTCCACCTGCATAATTATTGCTGAACACAAATTGTACTTCACCACCCAGTTTTATGTTTTACTCCCGTCAGTATTGTATAGCCGACTCGCATTTTTCAGTTGTGGCGGTTTTGAGAAAAACCGCTTTAGAAGAAAGGAAAGCAGCTATTAGTGAGGAGAGCCTGTAGGAGGATGAGGAAACAGATTACAAACAGGACCACGAGAGCGAGAGGCAACAGGAGTAGAACAGTGAAGGGGATGAGGGAGGGCTGAAAACGATGGTGTAATTACAGAGGCAGGTGATGAGAAAAGTTCAGGTGTGTAAGCGTAAATAGTGAGTAGTCGGGTCTCGTCGGGATCTGGGGAGGGTAGTCGGGTCTCGTCGGGATCTGGGGAGGGTAGTCGGGTCTCGTCGGGATCTGGGGAGGGTAGTCGGGTCTCGTCGGGATCTGGGGAGGGTAGTCGGGTCTCGTCGGGATCTGGGGAGGGTAGTCGGGTCTGTTCGGGATCTGGGGAGGGTAGTCGGGTCTCGGGAGGGTAGTCGGGTCTCGTCGGGATCTGGGGAGGGTAGTCGGGTCTCGTCAGGATCTGGGGAGGGTAGTCGGGTCTCGTCGGGATTGGGGGAGGGGAAATGTGGCTTGTCAAGGGAGTGTGGTAAAGCAGTGTTCAGGGAAGGGGAGGGGGAGCCATAGAAGTCAAAAGGAATAGGAGAAGATGAGGATGAGTTGGAAAGGACAGAAGAGAGGTTGAGGTTGGTTGAGGGGGAGCTACGACCTTCATGAGCCTAAGCTCCCTGCCATTGCATGATCCCAGTGCACGTCTAACAAGTGGCAGGTCTTCAACTGCTCCTCTCATGTGTACCTCCACATCCACCACTCTGTTCCTCCAACTCATCGATGTAGAACAGGAGTACATGTTCTTCAGCAATGAGCTGCACACAAATTATTACACCACAACATACACAACCGTCGCTATATATGCTATAAAACTTACCCCGCTACTTCCACCGGTACATCGCATCAGAGGAGAAAGGCGTGCTGCCACCGCGGCCTCTAGGTGTCCCCCCTCGCTGTAGTTGCACCTCTACGCAGTTGGCATGGTACGCGTTGCACGGCTGCCTACACAGAACCACGCGCTCTCCGCGACACGCTCTCAACCCACGGCAGTCGTGGAACTTCACGCCTTTCACCTCCGCCACGAGAGACGCTAGGGCAGAGGCAGCCATTGTAGAAAACCCGCGTATTGCGCGCTGTGCACATGGAACGTCACTTTCGAGCATCAGGAGATCTTTGTACGTCATCAACAGGCTAGATGGCGGCCAAAATCGAGGGTTTCTGGGAAGACGGGCTCATTTATCCGTCGCGCGTGATGGCAGCGCAACGGAGTAAGTTTGCATCGCTAGTACATTCATTTTGGATGTCATATTCGAAATCTGGGTACTTAACTAGTAAAGATTGCTGCATAATCAGCCTAACCCCTGGGGACCTCTAAAATGGCTGTTTTGCAAGATTTCACACTAACGGTGTTGGAGCGGTGAAACTTTTCTGGCCCAAAGGATGCACCAGTAGACTAAGATTGTGCATAACACAGTTTCAAGTCTACTCCCAGCACATGACGATCACATGGTTTAATATTAATTTGATCACTTTGATGCTGATCATTTTGATATGTTTCTCATGTGCACAGCATATAGTATGGCCGAGTAATGGACCAAAATGTTTAAAATCCCAAAATTCAGTCTCTATAATTATTATGCAAAGCACTGTATATACCTGTCGCCGTTACATGCGTACTGCACTTCTAATCATGCTGTAGCTACCTCCTTTGCAGTGGTGGTTTCGAGCTCCTGGGCTCTCCCATTGGCCCATCATCATACTGTGAGTCTTTTGTCCTGAAGAGTGTCAATAAGATCCAAGATGCTATGAAGAGTGTCAATAAGATCCAAGATGCTCTGATCAACCTACGAGACCTTCATGACTCGCAGATGGAAGCCATTCTCTTGCGTTCCTGTCTCTCCTTGCCAAAAATTGCCTTCGCCCTATGTACACATGCCCCAGACCTCATTCGACCCGCACTGGAAACTTTCGACGACACGATTAGGGAGGTTTTATCTGACCAGACGGGGTGTCCCCTCCCAGACTGGTCCTGGCCGAAGGCTTCCCTCCCGAGCAGCCTGGGAGCCTTGAATCTTCGCCGGGCAGCACTACATGCTCCAGCCGCCTACATTAGTTAGCTGCATCATTCCGAGCCTCTGATCTCTGATATTCTCGGCCATTCACCATCACCTCCTGCTTTGCTTCCCTCCTGTGTCAGGGCCCTCGGTATGGCAGCCTCGATGCCAGATTGGTCCTCTCTGCAGAACATTCATGTTCCTCTACGTCAACGTACTCTCTCCCGTCTAGCCTCCTTCGATTTTCTCCTCGAGTCCGCCTCCTGGTGTTTGTTCAAAGGCCTAGGCTCTCTCTTCGGCCCTCCCACATGCTGGGGATTGGCTCAATGTTGTTACTTCTTCTGCTCTTGGCCTTCATCTCCTGGACCAAGAGTTTCGCTCCTGTCTTCAATATTGGCCTGGGCTCCCTATTTTTGTGGAGGGGATAAGTTGCCCTGTCTGTCGGAGTGTTGCCGACCCCTTCGGCGATCACTATGTAGGTTGTGGGGGTAATGGGGATCGTATCCATCGTCACAACTCTATCCGGGATGCAATATTCTCAGCAGCACAGACAGCTACTTTGGCGCCCCGGAAGAAGTTGCTATCTTTTGTGCCCTGCTCCCAATGTCGCCCTGCTGACATTTGCCTCCTAGGTCGTCCAGCCGCGTTTGACGTCTCCGTTATTTCCACTCTGCAACAGCTTACCTTGAGTGGTGCAGCCAGTGTCCAAGGGCACGCATTGAGAGTAGGAGAGGAGAGGAAGACGGCCCTTCATGCTGCCTCTTGCCGGGCTGTGGGAGTGTCGTTCATCCCTCTCTTGGTCCAGTCTGTCGGAGGCTGGAGCGATCTCGCTGCCAAAACCCTCTCCAGTATTCGTCGGTTCCTAGGACAGCGGCTGGGCATACCACTCTACGGAAACCACCCGTCACCTCTTCCAACTGTGCGCTATTTGCCTTTGGAGAGGAAATGCAACTCTGTGGCTTCACCGTTGCCCAACGCCTCCCCCGCACGTTGACAGTATTATTTAGCGTTTTTAAGTTTTTCTTTGGTTTTTTGTTGTTGTTTTTTTATCATTTATTTTTTGGCCTTTGATGTTTTTTGTGTTTTTGTTTTGCTTGTCTTTTGTATCGTTTACTGTTTCTGGAAAAAGAAAAAAATCCTAGAGCGGTGAGCAGAACGGTACTTACTCTACGCTTTCAGCTTGTCTGTCGTGGTCCACCAGGCTGCTATATTGGCTAGGCAGCGATCGATCGGGCTAGCCAACCACGCGGCGTGTGTAAGCGTAGCTAGCTAGCTATAGCTCTTTCAGTCACAGAATTATACGAGATAATGCTGCCATGCCGCCCGCCTACCGGGTCAAAGTTCACAATTGCGCGAGATGTGTTGTAACCTAAAGGGTTAATCAGACGATTGCGAAATTACCGTTTCGCGTGTGAAATGGCACAGTTCCGTCCGTTATAAAAATCCGCTCAAACGAACGACTAGGTTGGCTTGCTCCCGCTTTCCAATAATAGCCAAATTTATCCAACATTTCCGTGCCTATGCAGGCATCATCTTTAGGGAGTAATTAAGACAATGTCGAAGGGTGATGGAATGTGTGGAGTGGTAGTGTCCACCACTGTCTCAGGCTCTAGTCAGAAAAACTCATCACATACCATCACCATCACCTGGTGCATAACATCAAGTTTAGTTCTATATAGGTCAGAGAACCACCGTGGAAGCCTGGACGCCAAGAACATATCACTATGCCTCATTATAATATTCCATTGTGAACTCTACTGCAAGGATTCTGAGAAAATTGAACATTAATGTCTCATTTCACCCACATTGCACTCTGGCTCAGTGTAAGTAGCTACAAGACAGTGCACAATAATACGTGATGTACAGAAAATCCCAGAATACTTGTGCTATGTTTGTAGATTTACTGTAGCTACATCACATATTTTGTGCACTAGTATATACCGACATAGCCACACTGAGCCACAAAATGCGATAAAACTTAAGCGTTTTTGGAAATGGCAGCATCTCATGCATGATCATAGTTAGTTTCTACTGCTTACAACACTCGAAAATTATTTAGCTTGCTGCTCATCGAAAATTTCCTCCAGTTTTAGATATATAGGAGAGCTGTTTTGCTACTAGCTCCTTGAGCTTTGAAAAGCAATTATTTATGTTGCCCTAGCAGAATGCCGTATATCGGTGGGTACAACATGGCAGGAGATTGGTGTACCTCGTAGTTTATTGATGCATTACTTGTCAACCCCACCATGCATTTTGGGCAACAAGGCTGCAAAGACGTAAATAGCTGTTGGTTTTGGCTAAAGATAATAAGGTCTTGCACTGATAAGGTTTCGGTTGTCATACCTGGTCCTAGACCAATTAGTTACCGCTTGTTTTGCGACCAGCGACTAGTCAACTATCAGAGTTTACAATGTCACATTATGAAGCAAAATGATACAAATAGGAAATCAGTCAGGAAGCTGTATATCAGTACACTGTGATTCATGTAAATGTTGTTGGGAGAAACCAGGTGGCAGAGATTCTCTGATAGTAAGAGCCACTAAAGATTTACTTGTCTGTATCCAGTCAAAAATATGTACTTTAGTGCGTATCAGCTGTTGGGACTCAAACCTGCTGTGGTACAGGTGAACAGAGTAGATTCTTGTTTTATTGTAGCCAGATATAGAATCAAAGTCCTTTGTGTAGAGTTCATCAAGTCCTTTGGCATTGTAACACATTGGGTGAAAGCCACTTTTCCATGGAAGAATTGCCACATCATCTCTCTCTTTGTCTAGTGACTTGACAAAGGAAGAGAGTGCACCTACTGAATGAGTAACCCATCCACCATTGAAATTCTTGCAGCTCAAATGTGCAAACCGACACAACACACAACTGTGTTTCTGTGACATCATCAGTGCAACATTAACCTCACTACCACACTGCTCAGACAGTACCATTTGGTGCTTGAGGAGAGGGTCAAATGAATTTAAACTCAAAATGTCACTATCGATGTATATACCCCCACTGTGATAGAGGATGGAGAGACGAAGAAAGTCAGATTTATGTTCTACTAGACGGATGCCAACACGATTCAAAACGTTAGCCCCAGGCAATGTGTGAATGATTTGGTGGTCAATGTATGGGAGAGCACGTCTCCACCAGCAGCTGTCTTGTAGTCCGTCAGTATAGACAGTGATCTTGTCTGGCTTTATCTTGTTCCTTGCACTCACTACTGCCAGCCATTCCATGAATGAGAACGGATGATTCAGAGACACAAAATGGACATGTTTGGGTATAGGGGTAGTACTAGTTTGGACACAATTGTTTTCACAAGACTTCAACCAGTCACCACAACCTACAGATAAAAAGTTGTAAGAAAGTTGCATATCAAACACTAATAAGATCAAACACATGTCACAATAATTGATGTGTAGTTAACCCTCGGCGCATGCACAGCGAGGGTTACGGTAGTTGTCCCGTAAGCGTGTCTGTCTGTCTGTCAGTCTGTCAGTTACCATGTTTTCTGTCACCGCGCGCACGAAATCAGGTAAATAGCGATATGATCGGGTTCAGTGCTACACTGGGTTGATTTTTAAAAGGCGATTTTCGTAAAACTACTGTGTTTTAAAGTTATGGCGTGAAAACCAAGTGAACAAGCCAATATGTAAATTAGCACAGGCTTACCTCGACCGCGCCCGTTCGCTCTGTGTGTCAAGTCACAACGAAGGGCATGTATCGACTCCCGCATGCTATTTACTACTGTAGCTAGCCCGTGCCGGACTCTCCGCGAGCTACTAGCGGGATACCACGAGTAAAGGCATAAAAAGCCCGGCCCATCAATTAGTGGTACCGCACATGCGCAGTTCGCCGAGGGTTTGCACTTTAGTGCTTTTAATTATTAATCTAGCTAGTATCATCCTCCAAGAGTTTTTGTACGAGAGCCTGGCTGCTCGAGATACTTCAGTCATGGCTTAGTTTATGTAGAGACCTGGACCAATCATATTTGTTGCCAACTATGAGAAGAAGAACTATTGACACTACATCTTGTGGCACACCTCCTTTTAAGAAAATCTAACAGTAGCTTCCAGGGTTTCCCTTTTAACAACAATAGCAAAACTTAGCAGGGAAAGGATAGCTAGCTAGTTGCTATGTAAGTGGCAACAAATTAGTTGCACATGGCTTAGCCTGGTATATATTATAGTCTGGCATAGCCACACACTCTCGCATAAAGAGGAGAGGGTCAGGTCCGCCTAGCATCAGCGACTGTGCAAAATCACAAAATCACCAATCAGATTGCAGAACAGCCAATTAAAAGCATTCCTAGCTTATGTGACATCACGTTATCGTGCAATGTGCAAAATCAGTAGCCTTAGCACTTCAAGATGGAGGGCATCCATGTCTTGAGAGACCTGCTAAGAGCAGGAGACTGGATGGCGAAGGTAGATATGAAGGACGCACATTTCATGCTCCCAATTCGCGAGGAAGAAAGCTTTACTCAAATTCTCCCTGAAAAACGACACCTACCAGTTCAGGTTCCTGCCATTCGGCCTAGCATGTGCCCCATGGGTCTTCACCAAGACCTTGAATCCTGTCGCTGCCCAGCTGAGACAACTGGGAATGCAACTGATCATCTACATAGACAACACCCTAATCCTGGCAGAGTCCTAGGAACTGGCTTGGGACCATGCGATAGGCCTGGTATATACCTGCTGGAAAACCTTGCCTTCGCAGTAAGCAAAGCCAAGTGTCAGCTAGAACCGACGCACACCATAGAGTTCCTCGGTTTCACTGTCAGCTCACTCAGCCAAGAGCTGAGCCTCCCCAATGGCAAGATCAACAAGATCAGAGCCGAGACACGGACCCTGTTGGGAAACAGGCAGATGTCAATATGAAAGCTATCGCAACTCCTGTGAAAACTCCAGGCTGCAACTTCCCCTAGCACCCCTGTTTTTCAACTAGCGTTGAAGCGGGGTATGGACCTGTCTGACCAAGACTACTCCATGCAGCTATCACTCTTGTGGGAAGAGCGGGAGGAACTGCAGTGGTTGGTAGACCACTTAACGGCCTGGAGCAGCAAAACTCTCATGACGGAAATAGTCGTGGAGTCGGATGCTTCGACCCACGGATGGGGGGCGACCTGCGACGGTGTTCGCATTGGCAGACCTTGGTATCCAGATGAGAGCCAGTGGCACATCAAGTGCCTGGAGGCGCTGGCAGCTTTTCACGCAGTGAGATGCTTTTTCAGGGACAGAAGAGACCAGAGACGTTTCAGCGCTATTGAGGTTGGACAATACCTCAGCCATCTGCTACATAAACAAGCTAGGTGGGACAGTCTACCCGAGACTAAACCCCATCGTCAGAGACCTATGGCTATGGTGCATGAACAGGGGGATAACCCTAAGTGCAGAGCACCTCCCGGGAGTGCTGAACACTGTAGCCAACAAGAAATCTCGAGTGATGAAGGACCACTCGGATTGGATGCCCCACCCTCAGGCATTCCTCCAGATCCAGCAGCACTGGGTCAACTGGCGGTGGACCTTTTTGCGTCCAGGCTGACTACCAAGCTGCAGAGATTCTTCAGCTGGAGACCACACCCAGAGGTAGAGGCTCTGGTTGCTTTCAGTCAGGACTGGATACAACTCCAGGGGAAGACATATGGCAACCACAGTGGAAACAAAGTCTGCCAGCAGAAGATCACACTAGTCCTGGTTGCCCCAGTATGGAAGAGCCAACCATGGTACCCGATGTTGTTGGAGTCCGGGACTCCCTGGTTGACTTTCCAAATCTCCTCACATCTCCAACCTGATCATCCCGACACACCCAGAGAGTGTCCCGGAGATGATGCCCCGACTAGCAGCTGCCTGGCATATCTCAGGCGACGCTACCAGCATAAGGAAATTTCGCAAGAGGGCGCAGAGTTGCTCCTCGCGTCGTGGGGACTCCCTCTTCATAAAGTGGATCATTCGGTGTAGTGGACAAAGTTCAGATCCCGTTTCGGGTCCTATCAGTGAAGTGGTGAATTTTCTGGCTGACCCATTCAAGGAAGGCTATCAATATAGCTCCCTGAACGCCTACCGCTTGGCTATATATCTCGTTAGTGCACGAAAGGGTTGATGGTTATGAGGTGGGTCAGCACCCCTTGGTGTCTAGTGAAAGGGGCATTGAACCTTCGTCCTCCCCAGCAAAGATAAGAGTCAACGTGGGATGTAGAGTTTTGGATTTCCTGGTTTCCCTAGACCATCAGGAAACCTCCCACTAAAAGACCTGGCCTGTAAGCTGGCTATGCTCATGGCCCCGACAAGACCATCGAGGTCTTCAGATCAAGCAAAGCTAGACTTGAGGTTCAGGTGAATTACCCTGGAAGGGGTAACATTCCAAGATAACGGCCTTGCCAAACAGGCGAGGGCTGGGAAGCCAAGAGCAGAATTCTTCTTTCCGGCTTTTGAGGACACAATCATGTACCCAAAAGAGACACTGAGAGTATACGAGGAGAAATCAGCGAGTCTCCGCTCACAGAACGATGCTGAGCGAACAAGATTGTTCCTGGAAGTGGTAAAACCATATGATATGGAGACCACACCTTCCTCATATATACATTCCAGAATAGCTGGAACCCACTACGTGGGCTGAGACATTCTGTAATTATTATTTCAGAAGGCTCGGTCTCCATATGAACAGTGGTAGTTTGTAGTCCCTGTTGGACAGCACTGCTGATCCAAACACACCCGATCGAATCGGCTTCTAATAAAACTTTGTGAAAACAGACTCTGAACTCCTGTGAGCTGCTTTCAGGATATCTGCCATAGTGACGCCCGCATTTGCAGCGGCCGATGTAGCAGCACCCCTCACTGAGTTTACTTTGAATATGCCTGTATGGATACCTGTTTTCTCTAGGAGCCATCTGGGCAAAGGTTGAGGAGCTAACCGGCTTGTGTGGTTTTACCACTGCCAGGATCAATCTTGTTACAACATATCGAAACTTAAGTAGGATTTTCTCTGAAATTGCTGCATTGGAGAGGTAGCTACGATGTGAAAACCAAGTGAATGAAGTAATATGCAAATGTATATTATAGCACGGGCTTACCTCTCGACCAGATGCACTTGTTCGTACAATAATTATACACACAAAAGGAACAGGAATTACCTGATGATATTGCATTCCACTCCTTATGTTTTGATTCTGCAGGGTATAATAATAGGCACCATTATGTGTACATATTACCTCATGCGTGTAATAGACACAATAATAATTATGCACCTTTTACCTTTGTGGGCATTAAAATGTAACTAAGATTATTTTCAGATCATGATAACTAAAAACGGTGTAATAACCAACACCATACTACTAGCATCATTTTGTGCAGTTTTGTGATAACCGTAAAAATGTTCAACAAACCGTCGCATACATGCGGCACACCCTGTTTGAGAATTGTGGCTGCCATGCTTGCACACAAATCGAAGCCGAGGTGACAAATGAGAGTAACTTTTTTTCTAGAAGTCGAGCAGCGAGAGATCCAGGAGAGATTCCAATGCCACACTAGTCAGCCTGCACCACGGAGTCTGCAGAGTTCACCGTTGCGCATGCACAAGGTTCAAGATGCAATATAATGAAGCACACATCTGCAAATATCATTTTCAATTAAGGAAGGAACATGTGAAGTAATTTGCAACAAATGTCCTGCACAACTTGCTCACGCGCATGAAGAAGTTTCATGTTCTTCCTGCACAGGTAAAAGATTTTGCAGGATTGTTTCGTACACTTGAACCTTAGCATGTGGATAAAGGCTTTCATTAATGTCCCTTTGAGAATTGCCCAAATTATAGTGATGCCTGCTCTCAGTATAATTATAGTTCGAATGTTTGAAGGAAATGTGACAGTATAAAAGGGCTAAAATAATGTGACCCGCTCTTGGAAAAGGTACAATTCAGCGCATATATAGATTTTCCGATATGCGTGTATGTAGCAAAAAAACTCGGCAAATATAGTTTATGACACAGGTGAAAACTATAACCTAGCATCTGCCTTTTCGCGTGGGAACGAAGTCGTTTTACCGCTTGTAGCGACAGCAGCGTATCCTCGTAGTTGTGGGCGTTGCCTCCGCGTGTATTGCATCATAAAATTTCCACACGTCGAAATAAACGCGCACGGAAGGGTGCGTGCGTTATTGCGTACGGTGCTTGAACGAAAGCAGTTACGAAGGTGCGGTTCTTCTTTGTATGTAGCGTGCATTGCGCTTTCGAACAATACGCGTAAAGCAATTTTGAACTTTTGAACTTTTTCGCCGAATTGTACCCTTTTCCCAGAGCGGTCTATCCAATCCCCGCACAGATTCGGAATGGAATCACGCCATTTGTGTGCATGCGCAAAATGTTTTTACTCTTGAACGTTTCGCTTATTGTCCGTCTGTCCTAAAGTTTGAGTATACAGTAATCCGCAGTCTATACGGTCTACGGATAAAATCCGACAGCACTGCAGTCCCTCGGCGCTGACTTCGGCCCGGTAGGGAAGAACCGAAAGCCGCTGCGGAGGGTATCCGTACCCCGCCCTCCTCGCGACCGCTAGTCCTCCCAGAGGTGTTCGACGGGACGAGCAGCTGGGACGAGTTGGCCTTCCACTTCGAGAACGTCGCCGCCGTCAACCAATGGGATGATGCAGAAAAATTGAAATGGCTCCGAGTTTGTCTCACGGGACGCGCCCAGAAGGCTATTCAGCGACTCCCTGAGACGTCTGCGTCGACTTACGCGGCAGCCCGTGCCGCTCTGAAAGCCCGCTTTGACCAGGGAAATTGCCATACCCACTACCGAGTTTCAGGCGCGCCGTAAGAAAGCGACGGAGGGGTGGGCAGACGACTTGAAAGCCTTGGCCGACAAAGCGTACCCCATGCTCCATGATGACGCTCGGGAACAACTGACCTTCAACTCGTTTCTGCAGCAACTGACGCCTCCGCAGGTCGCATTCAGCGTGAAACAAAGCGGCCGGCTTCGCTACACGATGCTGTGGCGGCAACGCTAGAGCTGGAGTCGTACGTTAGCCCTCCGTCTGCAGGGGTTTTCTGTACACAACCCAAGGAAGCTGTCTACTCGCCTGTGACGTCCGAAGCCAGACACGTGGAACAGCTGACTAAAGTGAAGCAACTCACGGAGCAAGTGGAACGTTTACAGACTGCTGCAGCCCGCCCTCAACAAAGGAGGATCCATCCGTTCTCCGGAGAGTGCTGGAGATGCGGGCAACCTGGCCATATGGCACGGAACTATCGTCGAAACTCCTCGAGGCAGCAGGGAAACTGACTCCCTCCGGCGCCAAGGACCGATTGCTGGAGGATGACTTCAGTCAGGTCCAACGTTTCGAATATCATTCAGCTTATGCCTCACCTCCCTGCCCAAGTGGGTTTCACCTCACTGGGTCCCTCAATTGGGTCGCTGTGTCAATGCTCGTTGACACAGGAGCAGCCGCCACTTTGCTTCAGCTGGACGTGTGGGAACAGCAGTTGCCCCTCGAACCCTGTCCATCATTGCGACTTCTCGGAGCTGGAGGAGAGCCATTGACTGTCCACTGTCATTGCAAAATCACCCTAGGACTAGGGTCAAACACCTTCGTCATAGATGCCGTGGTGGTCAACCCTCCAGTGGGGGGAGTGTCTCGTCTATCTAGATGACGTGATCGTATTGGGTCGTACTTTCCAACAACACCTCTGCAACTTACGTTCCGTCCTCCAGCGCCTCCGTGAGTCCGGACTGCGTCTGAAACCATCGAAATGCTCCTTTTTCCAAAGTGAAATGCAATACCTGGGGTACATAATTTCCCGCAAAGGCAACTCCACTGACCCCAAGAAGACACAGAGAGTTTGTTCATGGACGCTACCAACGACCAAGCGAGAAGTCCAGCAGGTTTTGGGCTTTGTGAGTTATTATCGGCGATTCGTCCGAGACTTCGCCTTCATCGCACGTCCCCTTCATCGCCTCACGAAACGTACATCACCCTTTGTATGGACCAACGACTGCCAGATGGCGTTTGAGGAACTCCGCCATCGCCTATGCTCAGCACCCATTCTGGCATTCCCAGACTTTTTGCGACAATTCATCCTGGACACCGATGCCCGTGACGTCGGCATTAGGGCAGTCCTGTCCCAGATTGATGAAGAGGGACACGAACAGGTGATTGCCTATGGAAGTCGAGCTCTGACTAAACCAGAGAGACGCTACTGTGTCACAAGACGGGAGCTTCTTGCGGTTGTACAGTTCACACGGCAGTACCGCCCTTATCTGGTGGGACAGAAGTTCATACTCCGCACTGACCACGGGTCTCTTACCTGGTTACGGAATTTTCGAGATCCAGAGGGCCAGATCGCACGCTGGCTGGAACGGCTACAGGAACTTGACTTTGACATCGTTCATCGCCGAGGCAGGGCCCACATGAATGCCGATGCACTTTCCCGACTCCCCTGCCAGCAGTGCGGACGAGAGAGTCACGTCACGCCGTGGTCTCGGCCACTGCTTATATCCTCCAGTCAGTACCAAGTACGATAGGTGACAGTGTCAGTGACGTCCAACTGGCTGATCCCGTTCTGGGTCCATTTCTCAGGGGAAAAGAGATGGGTTAAAAGCCAAACTCTACCCAGCTGGGAAAGAAAAGTCCGTCCTCCCGAAGACTTCTCCAACTCTGGGAACAACTGGTGGTCGCAGACGGAGTCCTTTGACGACAGTTCGAGTCATCTCACAGCCACACCTCAAACTTACAAGTTGTCGTCCCCGAAAGACTGCGAACGGAGGTGTTAGCAGAGCTACATGAGGGTGCTGTGGGGGTCACTTTGGGGTAGACAAGACACTTGCCCGACTGAGTGAACGGTTCTATTGGCCAGGGCATTTCAATGACGTCAAAGACTGGTGCGACAACTGCGCATCTCGGAAGACTCCATTGCCAGCAATACAGACACCATCACATGGATTAGAATCATTGAAGCTTTCAAGTTCACACAGAGTGTTAAGATAATCTGTAGCTTAGTATACTGCAGAAGGCATGTATACACTTACAAACAACAATGAAGAGCCAAGCTCCTCTAACTAGTATCATGGCTGGATATCCTATGCACTTGGTGGCTATGGATGTGGTAGGGCCCTTCCCACAGTCACCATCAGGAAACAAGTATGTTTTAGTCGCAGCTTACCCAATTCCCAACCAGGAAGCCACGACTGTGGTGAGGAAGCTAGTGGGTGAATTCTTTTGTTGATTTTCACCACCAGAGAGACTCCACTCTGATCAAGGAAGAAATTTCGAGTCCGCGCATTATCACCGAGACATGCAAGTTGCTGGGAATCAACAAGTCTTGTACCACACCCTACCACCCACAGTCTGATGGACTGGTTGAAAGATTCAACCGAACCCTTTTGGACATGCTCTCAAAATCTGTTGGTAACTATCCGTCTCAGTGGGAGCACCATATCCGTCGACTCTGCCTGGCCTACAACACCAGTGTCAATCCAACAACTGGACACACACCTTTCTTCCTTATGTTCGGTAGACAAGTACAGATGCCAGTAGATATTATGTACGGGACCCCTCGTGTTTCGTCAGCACCTGTGCCGAAGTATGTAGCAGATGTGCCAGCCTCACTTCTGTCTACCAGCAAGTCAGAACTACTACTGCAGCAAAACTGAAACGCCAGAAAGAATTTTACGACCGCATGGTCCATGGACAACCGTTTAATGAAGGTGACCTGGTTTGGCTCAACAGCCCGGCTGTACCAAAAGGGAACTCTAAGAAACTTCATTGTCCATTGATGGGGCCATTCCGGGTGGTGCGCAGACTCTCTGAAGCTGTCTACAGGATTCAACACAGGAGAAACCGTCGTAAGAGACTCGTAGTGCACCCAGACACACATCCACTTCAGCCCGGCGATCCTGTGAATAGAGACTCGCTCATACCTCCAGTCAAGGCTGCAGGTGCGCCCCTGCCACTACCTCCACCACTTCTCCCTCCACCCGCACCCCACTATCCCAGACAAAACAGAGGTCCCCCAGACTGATATTGTCCCTATTGAATTAAAGACAAATTCTTTTTGGATGAGGGAGCTGTGTAGCAGTTCCTCCAGCTGTCACACACACTATGGCACCAGACTGACTTGTGCAGACAGCTGTCCCACACACTATGGCACCAGACTGACTTGTGTATATAGCAGGTTTCTCCAACACCAGACAGCTGTCTCACACACTACGGCACCAGACTGACTACTGTAGTCCTGTTCACACCACTGTAATGGTCATGTTCTCTTGTATGTCGTTGCCCGGATCATCAGCCTATAAAAGTGATGTTCTACAATGCATATTCGCTCTCGGTTCCTAAGATTGCTGTCAGCTAACCAGCTCAACCGCTACTGCGCAAGTACCAGTCCCTCGGCGCTGACTTTGGCCTGATTACACACACATATATAATTATATATATATATACTAGTAGGCGAATGCATGGCATTGTGTCGAGCGGAAGCGAGCTTAAAAATGGGGTCTAATCGTATGAGTCACTCTTTTGTGTGCACAAAACAGTGAGATACATTTCACGGTCGCGCTTCCCCTTCCTCCGCTGTTTCTGTTGCCCGGCGTTGCCTTGCCTGTTCCCAATCACGCAATCGGCGTTAAGAAAGCCGAGCTTCTCACTGCTCAGGAGTCTCACTGGCACGACGTTCTCTTTCCCTCTCTCTTCGACAACGAAGAGCATCTTCTCTAGACCGATCCATAACACTTTCCCTTTCCTCACACGCCTACAAATTTTCAGGGGTGGAGCCTACTGAGGGGTGGGCGACAGACCGACGACGTACGGTGACATGCGCAGTTCGGCGACGCTCGACAACGTACGGTGACATATATATTATATATATATATAATTATATAGAAAAATCGCGCCGTTCGGACCACTAGGTTAGCTCGCTTCCGCTCGCCAATAAACATAGATGGTAGAAAATGAAATTGGAAACATTGTACAATCTAGCTTACTTACTGGAGTGGTATAATTGTAGAATAAAGAATAACTTACTTGTAGCAGTAAAAACATGGGTAGAAAAATACAGAATGACTTACTTGTAGCGGTAAAAACGTGGTAAAAAATAGAATCTGGAATAAAACTACTTACTTACGCAGTAAAAACGTGGTGCGCTATCGTGGTCCCTATTAGTCGCACCCCACGTAGTGTGCACAGTAGTCAACGTGAAGCTTATGTGGTCTGACAACTGTGCGTGTACAAAACATCTGGCTACCAATCCCACAGGATCTTCTATATGTTGAGACAAGGCGGCCCAGGAATCTATCATTGGCTGGCAATTTCAAACATACACCGTCCTCAATTATGTCTACGTATACTGCGGTTGTATTTGCAATGCAAATGATTTCCAAACCTTCTAAACGCGCTTTAAATAGCTCCGCATATCGATATCCTTGCTTTATTAACCCTCGGCGCGCATGCGCAGCGATGGTTATGGTACTTGGTCGTTGTGTCTGTGTGTCTGTCTGTGTGTCTGTGTCCGTTCACGTTTTCTGCCACTAGACGCAACAAGATCGCCAAAACTCTACAGCAACGGGTTCGGCGCTACATGTGCTTCATTTTAAAAATGGTGATTTTCGTAAAAACACGGCGTTCAAAAGTTATGGCGTGAAAAGCAAGTGAACAAGCCAATATGCAAATTAGCACGGGCTTACCTCGACAAGATGTGCTTGATCTGCGTACCTTGGAGGCACAAGACGTCACAACGAAGGGCGTGTATCGACTCCCGCATGCTATCTACTACTGTAGCTAGCCCGTGTCAGACTCTCCGTGTGCTACTATGTACTAGCGGGAGACCACGAGTAAATGGCCCAGCCCATCAATTAGCGGTATCGTGCAAGCGCAGTTCGCCGAGGGTTTGCACTTCAGTGCTTTTTCATTAATTTTTGTGTGAGTTTGTAATGTCACTCACAAAATTGCTCATAACCACTGCATATTCTACCTATACGTACAAGTTGGGAAACATATACACCATAAGCTGGTTTAGATGGGATGTTGCAACTCATATTTGGAATTTACCATATCAAAGTGAAAACTATTTTCCATGCTCTATTGTAATAAGTGCGGTTGGGCTCTCCGTAGTTTTCTTGAGCTGAAGAAGGATATAAGTCAGTATGGCGTCATTATATTGGATGTTATTTAGTATGTAATTATAAATACTCGCGAAAACAAGCATGTGATTTTGAAATGCTCGCTTTGCTTGCCAAAAAGGTGTTGCATTCCTCCAGCAATTTATAGCTAACAGTAATGGCAGGATAAACAGTTTATAATATGGTGGTCTGTTATCAACATTCCTTGCTATGGAATTACATGTACCATTCAAGAGATATGCAGGGCAATTTGGTAATGAGTGCAACACTGGCTTGCGAACCTAAAAACAACTTTAAAACATGTAACAATAGACCATGTGATGGCAAGAGAAAAAAGATGTTTCTGGCTTGTTGGTCCTCATCAGCAAAGCATACCGCAACTTCTCTCTCTGGCATCACGAGTTTATAAAGGCAAAGTTGAGCGCAGCAGTGGTTTTGAACTACAAGGCTTTGCTCAGGCGCAGCACTTGTGGTTCTGAACTAATGAGATTCATCCCCACAAGGCGTTGCCAGTACCGAGCCAAAACCCGAATTCAGAATGCTTTACAGTGGCGGACCTAGGATTTTGATTGGGGGGGTTCCGCTGTCCAGAACGTTTTCGACCGCACTCGTGCGCGCGAACGAGGCCGGCAATGCATGCGCACAAAAGAACAAAAAGGGGGAACCCCCAGGACCCGCCACTACTTTAACGGTTGACTCATACTTGTTAATGGCATATAGCAAACAGATCTATGAAACACTGCAGCTAAAGTGTTTTCTGCGTGGTTTCACGTAATTCCTTACCTTGTAAGGTGTCCAGTTTTTTTTGTAGATCATCATTAACCTCTTCCATATCTATAGTGGTGGTCTCTTATCAACATTCCGGAATTACATGTACGCAGGGAAATTTGGTAATGAGTGTAACACTGGCAAAACATACACTTTTCTTGTTAACACTGACTCATACTTGTTAATGGAATTTAGCAAACAGATCTATGAAATACCTGTGCTAATAGTGTTGTCTGTGTGGCCTTATAAGGTGTCCAGTTATTTGTGTATAAGACATTATAAGCTTGTGGTTGCCAACTCATGGCTTCAGTTTTCATAGACCACCACTCTGTACAACCCATAGAGAATGTGCTGCCATCCTAGGTATACACTATGATATGTAAATCCCCAGCCCAGATAAACTAAAATGCACCTAACTCTGCATCGGCAAGCCCTCTTTATAGGGATGACACGGCCCAAATATCACGTGATCCATGTACATAAAGCTCTAAAACTCGGTGAGAATGACTTACTAGGCGTTCAGTATTTATCTACAGGCCCATCTAGCTATACATGTACACAAATCATCATCTTCACCTTCTTCAGACCCACTTTCTCCAGAGGTTGAACACACGTCTGTTTGATCGTTGGCATGTGTAACATAATGCTCAAGACAAATAAGGACCGACCATATGTTGTGGCTTGCATGCATTACGTCAGGGCACATTAATCTGGGCGTACAAAGTATACAAGGCTCGGAGGTGACATCCCACTCTTTTACCAGGAACATGTTTAGTCACAGCCGCAGTACATAGTCTACGTTGCTTACAATAATTATGTTGTCTTGTCAATTCCTACTTCAAAATTAACATAGCCCTCACAAAGAGTGGTTAAATTAGCACATACTTTTACAAAATGAAGTTACCTGAATTTTGCACTTGTAAGGTTTCTACTTTTCCCTCCAAATCTTTGTTCGCTTTCTTCAAGTCTACATTAATTATAAACAGTCACTCGCATAAAATCAGGCTACAAACATTATTTCATTACTTTTACATGAACATGGTGTGGTAACTCCTCTGCCTTTAAAGGGCTACACTTCACAGTTTTGAAATAATCATTGTGCAAGGGGTCTTACATGCTAAATATAAGTTTGACGCCGATCGAGTAAGCAACATGGATTTTGAGAGCTGTTAGCCCTTGGGCTGCGGGCTTAACACATGCCTTGATAGTTTAACTTTTGTTTTAAAAATTACCATAATTTTACTAAAGATATATTTTCAGTTTTCGTAATTGTTACACGAACATGGTGTGGTACTCCTCTGCCTTAAAAGGGCTAGATCAAACAGTTTGAAAAAGGGTTAATTCCGCAGTGGAGTCTTCACAGTCATGCTAAATAAGAGCTGTTAGCCCTTAGGCTGCGGGCTTAGCTGTTCTTTACACACACCTTGATAATTTCACACTGTTACAGTTACCATTAATATTTTCAGTTGTCTCCTTCCTAATCACATCTTGTTGTATCAGCAGTCCTTCATTAAAATCTGCGAGGTACATTGCATGTATCAACTACGATGTAGAAAAGCAAAGGCACAACAAACAAGTCAACTACACCAGGACAGCTCTTTTCTCGAATGAAAAAAGAAGAGCTGCCCTATACTTCCATGAATAAATTGAGTCAATGAAGAGAGCTGTTGCTCACACGTGTTCATTCACAGAGGATAAGAGTGTTGGTATGAACTCTATATAAGGATGGCGCAGGTCAAATACCATGTGATCTGCACACAAAACACTCTCAAAACTTTGCCACGCTAACTCCCTAAGGCCTTCACAACACATTAGTATTGTCTATGGGCCCATATCTAGCTATAGATGAGCTCATACAGTGGTTCTTCAGATGATGACTTCATTAAGCAAAAAATCGACTACGCTGTCACCTACTTCGTCTTCAATTAAACCGTGTGAATAACATTGACATGGAAACCGTCCTTGCTTTTCAAACCACACGAAGGAATTCTACTCATGTAACTCTTGTTGTCCAAATCTTCCCAAACTGCCTGTGATTACAAAATCCTTGCTACGTCTCATCATGGTTGAAGAGACTGTTTCCTGCTAGGCCTGCATATGGGAGGCCTAAGAACCTTTGAGATCTGCTAGTACATGCTGAGCTCTCACAACAGAACTCCTGTGAGCCCATGGCTGCATTATTTGTGGAAGCAAACGATGCCTTACCTGCAAACACATCACAACAGTGATCACTTTTCAGAGTGTTACCAATAGCTGCACATTACGGGTTCATATGACTGGCAACTGCAAGACATGATGTAACCAGTATCAGCATTGCCATTCTGATGTCACGTAAGAGGTGACACTTAGATGTTTTCACTTGAAAAATTTTTTTTTAATGAGAATCGAACCCTAGCCCTAGCCATAGACCGCACCCTATTCGTTAACAACATTTCGAGCTGGCTGCCAAGGTGGGAATACTTTTATCATCTCTTTTCTCCATGTCCCTTACTGTAATTATTATAATTACATATACAGTACTACTCAAATATCTATGACATAATTCAAATACCTGTTACATGATGAAGTAACCCATGAAATGTCATGTCAAATGTCAGTTGTTTGGGAGACTCAGAACCCACAGCAAATCAGACTGAATGGCCACCGTAGTGCAAAGTGCATTATAAACCAGTATATACCAGCTCAACACTTACTCCCTTAATATTATTGTACTTGAGAACAAGAGGAGCAACAATGACCAGCTACTCAGAAAGAGAGAGAGTGTTTGGATTCACCAACTGTCGACACTGGACTCTGATGGATTGAACCTGGATCCATACAGTCTCTTTACTGCATTGTTCAACAGCATTTCATACTGTTGCTAGCCTGCATTCCTTACATCAACCCTTGTTGCCATTTAGTATATTACACACCCGAAGAACCGAAACGTGTGTTTGTGCCCTGTGCTCTGATAACTATATTTGACCAAACTGGACAGTTATTACAGTGGGTCCAACTTAATAATTATCATACTGTTTAATAGAATATACCGTTTATTATCATACGAACCTGAAATCCCAAACGATTATTCCTATGCTTACTCCGTTTTATATAATACGGGTTATGTCATATACCACCTATTACCATATAAAAATATTTTTTCCCGCATATTGTCATTATGAGCATGGGTAATTAGGCACTCTACCACTTAGGCTGGAGTTTTGTAACTCCACCTGCCTTCCAATTAGCTTATGTAAACAGCTAGGCTAGCCTAGCTTCATTAGCTTAGCTAAACAAACTGCATTGTGCGCTATCTGGGTTACAATATAAGTTGGTATGCACACCCCTAGTATACACAGTATACACACACACATTGTAGAATATCCCGCATATTATCATATTTTTATGATATTAACCAGGACCACTGTACAACCCTACACTAGCTGTCTTTGTATGAGGGCTAAGAGCAATATCAAAGGAATTCCAGCTAGTCCAAACAAGCTAGATGGTAGTGGGGGCTTCATGCTGAGTGTAGTGTAGTTAATACATAAAGAGGCCATACACTTTGCCCACACTTACCTATATGTTAACTTATATGCTAAGACCACAGTGGGAGTATATACGTAGTTATATAGGATAGCTATTTTTAAAAAATCTTTTTTAGAGGAGTTTACACAGCTGGCAACACAGAGTAACAGTGGTATATACAGTTGTCCAGTTTAGGGGGTTGTCCACCCACATTGACAAGGATAACGCAATGTGTGGTATATACTGCCAAAGATAGAAGAAAAAGACACCTCTTAGTAGCTAGGAGCTCTAGATAGCGAACTGTTGAAAGTAATTCTCATCCTTCTGTGGAGATTTCTTGAAACTGCCATATGCTGTGTAGCTAGTTGTAGTCCACTCATACAAACGAAGAGTTTTTGTAGAACAAGGCCCAGTTCTCTTTTGAATATATTTTCTCTGGGATCCCAGCTTGGAACACATTTGAAGTGTGTAAGGGGTTGACACGCCTGAGTCATTATTTCGAGCAGGGTTTTTTTTTACAATAATGGCAAAAACCTTTGCCCGGTTACGTGTCTCCATCCATTCCTCAAAGTTCTTAGAGGCCTAATAATCATCATTCTTGGTGTTCTTGGGGACATACTGAACCGACATTTCACTACAGTCGTCATCTTTACTGAAATCGAACTGATCCGCATTAACAATTGCCAAACACGGGTGCTTAGGTCGGGGGTCTGAGCCCTTTACTTTTTCCTGAGAGAAAGCCGCCAATTTTCCTTCCCTTTCTCGAAAGCTGTGCTACTAACAAAATCATCCATACCCAAATCAAACAGTCGGGGAACCGGCTTCTCTAGATTCAGGGAGGGCTGCACGGCTCCAGCCAGTTGACTTCCAAGCAGCAGATCCAGCCGGTTGACTTCCAGGAGCAGCTTCCATGGTCGATCAAGTGCCGTACGCTCTGATCGCGATTTTGGCGCGCATAATTTCAGTTACAACCACATATAAGCACTGGTGTCAGCTGGCGCATTGAGCGTTACTCCTGGATGTCATCATACAAACACGATATACCATCGTACAACATAATAATATATAAACTTTGCTACATCAATTTTGAGCATCTGCTTTCATTACTTTCCATAGAACCACTGTCATGAAAGGTTAGAATAAACAGAACTCTATGAGGAAATCCTTGTGAATGGATTTAAAGAAGCATGGATGATGGAAGCTTTACCACAAGCCATGTGAAGAAAAAAGATGCGACCAACTCAGGCATGAACATGTAATCACATATTAACTTCATCGTGCACACGGAGTAATTCCCCCCGCAACCTTTGCACGCAGAAAAACAAGTTTGTGTCAGTTGACATAAAAGATAGGTATCTCTTGAATTAAAATCTATGCATATTATTCCGGCCCTGTAGTGTCTGCTGCACTCGGAACGCTACAACACAAGGTTCCGAAGGCTTCTAGAATGCACATAGATACATATCACAGAATTGCTATTTATTATTATTGACTGACAGTGAAATTTCAATGTGGCAAGTTTGCGATTCCGATGTAGAAATACGCATACACAACATCTAGCAACACACACCTCTCTTCTGTTTTCGTTAATGCACTAACTTTCACTAGGAGTTGGGTGTAAGACGAAACTGACACCGAGTCCATATGTCACTAACAAAACAACTGCAGTGGACACCAGAACACCAACCACAACTCCTGTGATTTTCATGTTGGGCTTTGGGTCTCACCGGTACCTGCAGATGAATTATTCATGAAAATAGAAGGATAGGTAGATAGTCTGCATAAGTAAAGCCATAATAGAGGTTTTCAACAATCACACAGTTCTATGCAATTGACTATTGCTGCTGATTTTGTTTTCTTCAGTAGATTTGTTACAGAGTAAAGTACCAAGCTTCCATGTCTCATTTTAGGTGCAACAGTTCGCTGTCCGTAACCAACGTTTTCGTCCAAATTATACTGCATTCGCTCAAACATTTTTGAGAGGCCGTGGCTGCACGTTTGACAAATACATCACTACAACAATATTATTATTCAGAACAATGATTTAATCTACATCAGACATTGTAGCCTCGTAAAATCAGTGGTGTTATTGTTTAATATCATGCCCCATAAGCAACGATAGCAATTAAGTCTCTACCACGGAATGGAATGGGCATCAACACATTGTGTAGTAAACACATTGGGCATGGCTAGGTTTGACTGTCGTAGCTACACTGTGTATACAATTGCACACACTCGAGGTATATACAATCACACATAGACCTCACAAGAGGGTCCCCAAAGAAAAAAAAACTTGCGGCGAATTAGCGCAGCGGTCGAGGGCTGACGGCAAGTATAGCGGCCTGGTGCCTGCGCCCACCACCACCGCTGCTTCCGTTCTATTGGCGGCCTTGTTCTCGCTCTTTTAGGCCTTCTAGTAAAATGTGGACCGACCTCCTACCAAAGCGGGCGGACATTCAATAGACCGACGTCGTCGTGAAGTTGACCGACCGCAACTAGACCGACCTCTAGTAAAATGGACAGTCCTCCGGCATCGACCGCGCGAGCGTACTATTGATTACACGCCCATATCCCCTGCCCCCCTAGTATCTCCGCCCCTGATACTATGCTATCTGGCTAGCCAAGTGTCGCCCACCAGGGTTAGACGTATCGCATACGTGTTTGCTATCTGGCTAGCCAGGCCCACCAGGGTTAGAGTATAGCTACGCATACGTGTTTGCTTACATAAACTAACGGGTAGCAAAGTTCCAAAGTCCCGTCAACTGCCTTGACTTCAGAAAAATAGGATTGTGCGATGACAGAGGCGTGGCAAACGGGCGATGTGCGTTTACAGGGTATTTGTGCACTTTGTGGTCGCTATATATAGCAGCCTTCCGGCTCGGCGCGCATGCGCTGCGAGGATACTGTACTTGGTCGGTAAGTTTGTCTGTCTGCCTGTTACCACGTTTTCTGCAACCACGCTCAACGAGACAACGAAAGAGCGATACCAACAGGTTCATCGCTACACTCGGTTCATTGTGTCGGTTACTCTCAATCTCACTTCTCGGGTGTTCGTTCGTCTCACAAAGGATACCACCTACTGAACGGGCAATGAAGGTCAGAAATTTCGAACGGTTTTCTCTGAAAACGCTCCGTTGCAAAGCTAGAGCGCGAAAAAGCCAATATGCAAATACACAACGGCTTACTACGGCATGGTCGATCCGCGTGCTCTGCGTACCTCGGAGGCACCAGAAGATGCAACGCAGGGCGTGTATCGCAGCCCGCGTCAGACTCTGCGCGAGCTTGCAAGAGACCACGAGTAACAGCTAAAACTAAATCCAGCCTATCAATTAGTGGTACTGCGCATGCGTTTACCTACGCGTGCGCGTCACAGTGCGCAGAGGGTTTGCACTTCAGTGCTAGGCCAAGTAGACAACTTGTTTCTCAGAAATAATATTTCTTGATTAGACATTTTCGGACAGTGTGTGGGCTTTAATAATGTCGAGATTGAAAAAACAATGTGTGACAAATACGAAATAAGGGGAACACTGCAATAAGAAACCGCCTAACACTCCGTAGCTTGTAATGGTATTATAATTATTAGGGCCATGTATAAATCACATTATTTATTAAAGCTGTTTTAAAGCTGTTTCACCAAACAACAATTGACTGAATAACAGTGTCAATATTAAGCAATTATTCAAACATAGTCTGTCTTTTAATCAAAGCACTATACATGCCATCTTTATTCATTAGATCTTTGTGATTTCCAAGCTGTGGATTGAGAAATGAACTGATTATAACTCTGCAAATTAAAAGTGCAAACCCTCGGCGCACTGCACATGCACAGTAACGCCAATTTATGGGATGGGCTATGAGTATGCGTCGGTAAACTCGTGCCCAGCCAGCCCTGCCCACATGCAGGGAACTGTCTGGGTCTTTAGTCGATTTTCTTGGCACAGTAGAACGATTAAACTCTTGTAACAATCACGTGTGACTAGCGAACACGATTTATAACGCAATCAGGCTATATAGAGCTGAGATAGACAGTTTAGTGTGCTCTAGAACACTTTGTGGGTGCTGTGATGCTCCTGGTATATATCTTAGAGAAGGTACTGCCAGTAATCAATGTACATATGTAAGCTGTTTTTTAAGAGTCTAGAGGGGTACAGAGGTTGTTGGTGAGCTCGAAATTATGACTTCTTGTATATACCTTCAAGAGCAAGAGGAAGCCCAGTGCGGTTATGCATATTTGGTTGTTTTCACGTCCTCTTCCTCTCTCTCGACGTTAAAGGAAAAAAAATTCCTTCTGGTCCTTGTAGCTCTGAAGCCGTTGGTATCGCTCATAATTATGGCACGTCATAATCTGTAGTGCCAGAATAGGTGTCGACGAACATACAAATAAACAGGCAGTAGAGGCATCCTGGGATGGACAGCTGGCAAAAGCTTTCTGATGGCCCCTCAAGGGGCTGAGTATCTCTGAGGATCAGGCAAAGAAAATTTCGAGCTTCGGTGACTAACTGGATTCCTATGACAAAAAGTCAGTTGTCTTCATCAAGTGATACTCTCACAAGGCTCACTCAGTGGGGAGGGGGTTACCGGGTCAAGAATACGCGAGCATTGATTACATGAAAAGGTATAGGTTTCCTATTATCACAATGTACTATAGGACTTAGTTGAGCAAGGTGCTTTCTATTCGCCGGGTCATCAGCAACATGCCTTTCTCACTGCAGAGTCGTAGAAGCACTCTTCAGTATCAAAATCCTCGTATAGAGCAAGGCTCACAAGGTGCAGGTGGATGTTTGTCATATCAGAGTACAATTCTTTCAAGACACGGCTTTTAAATAGCAGCACTCAGTTGGAATTGAAGTCAAGGAACCTCACCTTGTACACAAGCAATGAGGCAACCCTGGTCAAATGTGTAACTCGAAAATTCCCATGCAGCATCATAGTATTTTTAAACAAAAATCGTAATGGTACAGAAATCGTCCAGGAGTGAAGAGACCAAGATGTTTATGCATGGCCTTTCCATAGTATATGTGCTACTCAGCTTCTTCCACCTGCTAGGCAATCTCCTCCACCAAATCTCCTCCACCAATACCAACCAATCCAGGACACTACCGGAAGGGCCTGTGTTTAGGCAAACCACATCTGTGCCCTTTTGGCACAAAATATATTATATACCAATGACAGCATCTACACCTGTTCTCAAACAACCCTACTGAGGTGGTCAAGTTGGAGGAAGTAGACTTACATAGCAGCTGGGGCAAGGACAATGGCATGGGGTTAGTGGAAGGCAACTGCTGACTTTATGCCTCATGTTCCAGCTAGGAAGTACACTAGCAAGGTGTGTAGAGAGCCAATGTCAGCGACAAGGCATAGCCAGTTTTATGGCAAACGATACCGTCCAAAGGCAAGTACAAAAAGCTGTTAGCTGTCCTTTATGTAGAATTGCAAAGCAGTCGCCATTCTGGATAGTGCTGAGTCGATGAGCAATCACCCGCACTGTTTTACCCTGGCACACGTGGTCCATGGCATCCTGAACCAACTTCTCTGGGTGTGGCCTCGTCAAAAATAAGGATCCTGGGATTCTTAATACTGTCCAAAAGCTCCAGGAGCGAGTACAAACAAAGAGTGGCTGGCACAAAAACCGGGGTGGGGGGTGCTTTTTTCTGAACCATTTCTCTTCTTAAACTTCATATGTATGAATTTGAATATCCCTCCACAATTTGCACTTTGGCCCTTTTCTTTTCCTCTTCCTCTCTTCTCTCTTCCCCCTCTTCCTCCCATTTCCCCCTCATTGAGAAGAATGCTCCTCCACTTTGGCAGAAGCGGTCTGGTGGAAAAGATAACCCCTGTGACAAGCAAAGGAACATCAGTAGCTCTAGTCAACGAGTAGCTCTTTAACTGACCAGAGTATTGAACATAGGCCAGATCAAATCTGAAAGAAAAGATGAAGCAAATGTACCGGACAGATATGTTATGCAGAAGGTAAGTTTAGCCGGGTGTTCACTCACACAATGTGATGTTGCTTATGCTGCCCCAGTTGTGTCTTTTTTTTACTAACCGGACAGAAAGGGAGAAGAACGCTTTGGCAAAACCCCAAAACCACATTTTCATGACATGAACAGTTTTGGGAAGAAATTCAGTAACTACTGTAACCCTCGCTGCGCATGCACGCCGAGGGTTAATGATGGGCCATGAATAACAAGCAGATAATATGTCTGTTGTACCCCTGTTGGTGATGATACAGCAATGTGGATATAGAGGAGTGTGTATGTTTATCACGAGCAAGTCTTTGGTAGCCTAGTTAATTATTTCGAAAAACTGTCAAAATTAGTATAGAAGATGTCTACTAAAGTACTGGCAGGTCTACCTCGGAACACTTGACATCACAGCCAGTGAATTCCCCTGTGAGTGCTTAGCTACAGCAGGGAAGTGATGGGCAAAACTGTTTTGTATGGCCTGCAGACAGGAGATGAGCCTAAAAACAACGTGATTGTTAGTCACGTTTCCTATAATACTCACAAGACAGGGAAAGGCAGGTCTTAAAGAGATGGCTAAATTAGTGATGAAATCAACCTTTTGGTTAGTGAGACTCTTCCACTTGCTGCCTACAAAGCTGTGCTTTTTCACCTTCATAATTGCATCAGATGAGACCCAATACTGGGGCTATCACTCCTTCCGATCTATCTATTTCTGTCTCCATATTATATTTAAGCCCTAAAGGAGGAGTTAAGTCAATATCAATGAACCAACATTGGGGCTATCGATTCCTTCCCATCTAATCTTTTTGTATCTTCAGATATATTGAACTCTACAAGAGGAGTTTCCTCAATATGCAGCTGTGCTGTAGAAATGATAATTATACATCCTTCATAACTATGTTCCCCTTCAATTTTGAAAGGAGCATGAATAGAGATTGGCAGTTTGGAGACAAGCTCCATGTCGTGTACATCCTATTCAACTATCCTGCATCCAAAGCTTTTCATTAGGTGAGTGACGGCTACAAGACTACATTGAAGCATCCTAGATGTCACAAAATAATAGTCGATGACTTCATATACCTTTGACAAGATTGTATTGGAAAAAGAAATAGCTCAGGCCTACCTTAGAGCTTGAGGTGTACATTTTGTGGGAGGAGGGACAAGGCAAAGAAAGGAAGTCAAGATGGTGGTGTGTTGATTCTAATGTGCACATCGTGAAATTGGCTAAGTTTGAGATTTTAAATAATGTGTGACTGGAATGGTTGGAATTCACTTAGTCTTTTAAAGAGTTGTACTCCATTATCTAGTGAAACAATCTCATTTGACAGGCCTTAGGGCAGTCATCTATGGTGGCACTACTGTTCTATGAATGAGGCTTGTAGGTGAAAAATGACACCACCGACACTCGAGGTCTCAATAACCAGAGATAAGGACAACTCTGTAGGTAGAAGTCTACTTTATTCCCTGTTGCTAACGTGTTACCAGGCTTAGTGAAGCAAGGTTGTATATGGCAATGGTTGTCTATAGTAAGGATGCAGGGCAATGCTGCAATGTGAATATCAGGTGTTGATTTGAAGAATTTCTTACCTGCAATCCCGAAGCAGAAGAGAACCAACATGACTCCCGGGTTCTGTCCGCCATTATTGACTTTTGAACTGAAATTGGCCACTAGAAATTGGCTGTGCGACATCATGTTAGTTGTTAAGATTGATTTCAGGCCTACTTCGTATGTTGTAGTTTATTCCACCCTACTCCGCAGGCAGAATAAACCACCTCGTAGGCATGCTATAAGTATAGGTTAGAGCACTGGAACGAGACACTACGAGGTTTGAATAAACCGAGGGGGGAGGGGTGAGAATGATGCAATAGTGACTGATCCACGAGGGTTTTCAAACCGTGGAGTGGTGTAACTACCTTAGAACTGCAGCATGGAGAGCGCAGTTTCACCTAGTCTTTTCGATAGTGTGCAAGACCCGTTACCCAGTTGGCCATAATTTAGGCTGGGAATTGGCGACGAGTGGGAAGACCAATTTGGTCCTAGCTTCGAGACTACCGCCGAGCAGGACGAGTCCATCATACAAGCATTGCAGCAACTGGACGGAAATATCCTGCAAGCCCCTCCGGAGCAAGCCCCTCCAAGACACTGCCACTTGAGCCCCGTCGCTTGGATGATGCTGATCTGGAGGATTTGTTGTTGATCGCTTGTCAGGCGTTGATTTCTCCTGTACTATATTATTATGAATTTAACCTTTGTGAAACCTCAGTGATCCCTCAGTGATCTAAATTCTTCACAGAGATCTAACTTGCAATTTAGATACCTGGCAGACCCAGTAAGGGAATTATTCATGAGAGGTTCTAACTGATACATACAACACAAAGCAGAAGAAAACCTTACAATTAGTCTCTGTTGAACATACTTCTTTGGCACAAAGTACACTTACCTCTCTCAGCTGTCCTTTATGTAGAACTGCAATGCAGTCGGCATTCTGGATAGTGCTGAATCGATGAGCAATCACCAGCACCGTTCTACCCTGGCACACTTGGTCCAGGGCATCCTGAACCAACTTCTCTGAGTGTGCGTCGAGTGCACTAGTGGCCTCGTCAAGAATGAGGATCCTGGGATTCTTGAGCAGAGCCCGGGCTATGGCGATACGTTGCTTCTGCCCACCTGACACAGTGACGCCCCGCTCTCCCACAACCGTGCCGTACCCTTCTGGGAATTCACGGATGAAACTGTCTGCATTAGCCTGTCTTGCTGCCTCATATACCTGTTATTGTGCACAGAGGAAAGACATTAGGATATTATAGGTGCAGAACAATTCCGGGGCGTATACTGCTAGTACACTAGTGTACATACATCGAAACATTGTGTGCTTCAGATGATAATGTTCTCACCGCAACAAGATTGAGCTATAGGTCTTAGTAAGATTCATTAACAATTATGGTGCTCGTAGACTAATAGCAAGTATAAAACTCTGATGGCCAAAATAAGTATAACCGTCTGTAATACATAATAGCATCAACTTTACAACAAGCATCAACTTCGATGCATAAAATGCACAAGACACATAACTTAAGCTTTGGGGAACTTTACAATAAGAGCATAAATTCACCGACAGAGGCTTTGGGGCCCGACATGAGTGGCTTCATAATACACATTGTTGTCGTCATTATAAATACCTCCCGATCAGAAGCAGAGGGTCTGCCATATCTAATATTCTCCATGATTGTGGTTGCAAACAGGACTGGCTCCTGGTTGATAAAGCCCAGTACCCTCCCTCGCAGCCAGGAGGGATCCAACTCATCCAGAGGGCTGTCATCCAGGTATATCCTCCCACCAGTTGGCTCATAGAATCTCTCTAACAGGGCAGCAACAGTCGACTTCCCTGCTCCTGATAGCCCACATAGGGCAGTCACCTTCCCTTGTGGTAGGGTGAGGGTTAGGTTATCTAGCACAACCTGGAAGGAAGGTGCAACGATGGAACAAGGCAAGGTAATTAACCATCGGCGCGCATGCGCAGAGGTTCGTTAGTGTGTCGGTTTGTCTGTTACACGTTTTCTGCCACCACGCGCGACGAGAAAACAAAATAGCGATGCCAAAAGGTTCAGTGCTACACTGGCATGATTTTAAACTTGGCGAATATCGTGAAACTACTGTGTTCGAGAGATATGGCGTGAAAACCTGGTGATAAAGCCAATATGCAAATTACCACTGGCTTATCTCGACCAGATCCGCTTGCTCTGCATACCTTAGAGGCACCAGAAGTTGCAATGCATGCTGGTGTAACTAGCCCGTGACAGAATTTCAGCGAGCTGGTGGCATGAGACTGTGAGTATAATGAAAAATAGCCCAGCCCATCAATTAGTGGTACCTCGCATGTGTATACTTACGCGCGCCCACACTGCGCCGAGGGTTTGCACTTCAGTGCTTTTCATTAGTTTATTGCTCATCGTCTCATTCAGTATGCAGCATAATTATAGCGCATTATACTCAGAAATTCACCTTATTCAAAATCCTAGGATGCTCACTTATCAAGCCAGTGTCTTTCAGTAAAATATTTCACAGAGCAAAGGTGTGTGGGGTCTAAACATACAGAGAGACTCAACCTGGTTGGGTCTGGAGGGATAAGAGAACAGGACATCTTTGAAGTAGACAGTTCCACCGACTGCACCCAGTGCGAGGCCACCTGTCTGGAGACTGGTCTCTCTATCAACAGTGATGTACTGGAACACTCGCGATCCTGAGCTCAATCCTTTCACCACCTGACCAAACAGAGTTGACAGACTTCCCAGAGACCTGTAGGGACAACCGAATCACACTTAAAGCAGGCTTTATACCAAAACTGTGAATCACACACGGAGCTACTGCACACATGTGTGGACTCCAACAGAAAGATTCGGAGGACAGACAAGCTACAGAAACACACTCCTATAGAATGTCATACCTGCTTGCTAAGATTACGGTGTACATGCAGCGGGTATACTTTTTGGGGAAATGGCAACTGGCGTACTGTAATTCTTCTATCACATGCTGTGGCTACTATTAACTTAGCCATTGCATAGGTTCAGCATCTATTCTATTTTAGTAGCTTGTGGAAAGTCTGACACGTGCTAGCTAACTATTATGCGGAAGTCGATACACACAAAGCGAGTGGATCAGGTCGAGGTAAGCCAGTGAGAAAATGAATATCAGCTTATTCGTTTGTTTTCACAGCATATCTCTCAAATACAGTTGTGTCAGGAATATCGCTTCTATTTTTAAGGCTTGCATAGTTCTCAAGCCGTTGGTTTAGGCAACCTCATAGACTGTATTCCCAGAATAAGCGTCGACACACAGACAGAGAAACCAACTACTATAACCCTCGCTGTGGCGCGCCGAGGGATTTATGCATAATATACTTGAATTAACACCACAATTTCTATGGCACAAGCCACTGATGTGTACATGTCTCAGTAAAGATTTTGAACTAAACAATAGGGCCCATTGGAAGAATACAATTAAGTTTCTGTTTAAGTAACAGTTATTATGCCGTTACACATTGGCACATTCCCTCATGTGCCATTATAAGTGAAACTCATACTCAATATTCAATTCAGTCTCTTTTTGACTAAGACCCCTGCTATTAAGACACCTTGTCATGCTAGAGGGCTTGGTATACCAAATACAAGCATTCCAGACAAGGAAGGTTATATGACACGTGAGGCAATGCCTGCATCCCTGCTTGCAGCAACAGTTAGCCCTTATCCATTGAATGTGCCATATTTAACTGAAACTTATACGCAATGCATCTTGGAAAAGAGGATGTCTCATGCACACATTTCTAGGTTGATCAATATTTCCCTGGACTATAAAATGATATGTTAAGGTGGCGGTTTACTCTGTAAGTATGCGACAATTCAAAGTGCATTTCCATGTTGGAAATATATACAGCTATCAAACGAAAGCTTTATTTATGCACTTTCTGAATATCTGCATATCTCTGGAATAGATACTACAACAAGAGAAAGTGTAGGTTTTAAATCAAGCACCGAACAAAGTCTTGGGGGCAAAATATCTGCTTCCTGAAATTGTAAAAAAAAATTGATAAACACGCACTTTTAGCGTTATTTGTTATTTGTGGCAACATACATGTGTTTGCAAAGCACGCTTACAGAAATAGTTACGTACAAACGAGGTGAAATGCGACAAAATGCAGTACATAAATCTGACGCACTGACCGCACTTTGTGACGCACCGGGACTATAATACGTTGCCGCAATGCGCAGAGACTATAGAATGCGTTCGTGTTGGTTTTACATGGATACAACGCCCCATACGCGAGATATTTTGTCCTCAAGCGTTACCGCACTGAAACACGTGGATGCGACTATGAATAATTATATTTATCTGTTACCACGATGTGTATGTTAGCTCTATACTAGGTAATTGGTCAACGAATAGTAGTTTTGAGAGTGAACCTGTCTGGCAAACTTGAAGCGCCACCTTAAGAAGGTTTGAAATAAGGTTTCTAAGAGACATGCTATGAAGACACCCTGTAGTCACGCTTTATGACTTGGTATGCCAATTAGCACTATAGCAAGCACATTACACAACAGGTGAGGCAATTCCTGCGTCCCTGTAGGCTCTCTAGGACACTCACTTCGTAACAACTATCTGCTGCCACACAAAACCTCGGCAAAACTGCTTCATGACGTCCTCTAATGGCTCTCAATGTCAGGTGCGACATTTGTAGTTGCAACTCACTTTTACAGCAAATGTAGTTATACATGTGTTTATGCATGTGGACATGGACTCAGAACTCACAGCGTGAATATAAGTATGCTAGGAATGCGCATGCGCATATTTTGCCTCGTGCCTGCCAGCCAATGCGCGTAAACAGTCTGACTGAGGCCGCTCGTGCGCGCGCTCTTCTGACTGCGCGCGAAGCCGGACTTCCTACGAATCTGCGCGCACGGCAGAAGCTAGACTTCCTACGAATGACGGAAGTTACACTTCCTTTTGGTGACTAATTCACATTCCTAAGTGTGACTAATTGACGACGTACGTACGCATATCGCGAGAATACAACCCGGAGTAGCTGCCTCACTCTAATGCGCTCGGCAATAACATATAATATAAGTATATCACAAACCTCTGAATGGTCTGTGTTGCGATGAGAAATGACATAAGGTTTCCTGGACTGATTTGATTATTAGCCAGTAGCAGTCCTCCATAGGAGAGTACCACAAGAGCAACACCTACACCCAAAAAAACATTGTTTATAAGCTCTCATGATTAACTTACACAACGCATGTTTGGCGAGCTAGGAGTGTGGAATTTATGTGAAGCATGACCGTAATGAGGACAGCACACAACCCGTTGTTCTATATTCCAGAAGGGCTTAGATGCTCTTCATGGTTTCAGGCACAAGAGCCTGCCTGAGAGAAAAATTGCCATCTAGGACCAGTGATTCTACCAAGAGGCAACCGGCACTGGTTAAACAGACTGGCCAAAGATTGATAGCAGCATCAATGCCCAGTGCTTTACAGGGATGTCACTGAGTCCGGGGCTAGTCTCCAATCTGCACTTTCAAGGACCACATCAAGGCGACATGTCCCTACCGGTCTGCTGATGATGACCAGTCTGGCCAAAAGAGGCCATGAGGCCTCCCCTTTGTCCACAGCTCAAACGGAAGGATGTGCGCCGCAAGTGGAATAGGTAAAAGCTATAGGGTGCTACCATGGAGATTCTAATTGATGGGCTGGTCAATTAGTATGTGTTTACTCATGGTGTCCCGCTAATAGCTTGGGGAGAGTCTGACACGGGCTAGCGATAGTAGTATATATCATGTGGGAGTCGATACACGCCCTTCGTTGTGACTTCTAATGCCTTCAAGATACCCAGAGCGAGTGGACCCGGTCGAGGTAAGCCTGTGCTAATTAGCAATTGGCTTGTTGACTTGGTTTTCACGCCATAACTCTCGAACAGAGTGCTTTTAACAAAATCGGTGAATTTAAAATCAAGCCAGTGTAGCGCTGAACCCGTAGGTGTCGCTTTTGACCTGTTTGTCACGCGTAGTGGCAGAAAACGTCGTAACAGACAGACAGACGGTCAGACACACACACACACACACACGCAGACCAAGCATATAACCCTCACTGCGGCATGTGCGCCGAGGGTTGAAAATAGCCAAATATGACCCAAAGTTCTTAATCCAAGTTCGCTGGAGGTAGGGCAGCCACAGCAACTGAAGTGAATGCTTACGAACACCAACGCCCAACCAAGGAGCTTAACGAAGAGATATACGAGCTCAACAGGTGCATACAAACCAAGGAACAGAGACTTGAGCAGGACACTGCAAGTCGCAATTTCTAAATGTGCGACGATTTAGCTACTGAGCTAACATACTAGCTCAACACTGAGTTGGTAGGGTTGCAACAGAAGTCCAAGTAAGCGGTTGAGTATCAAAACAGAAAGAAGAAATTCCACACTCTAGAACAGGAGAGTGGTGACAACACTGCTCAGTCTAATGAGCCAAATTTACCCAACAGCCTCCCTACACCACCCATGTAGGGAGACCTGATCATGAACATATTGTAGTTTTTTATTAAAAACTTGCACAACACACAAAATTAATTCAATCTATTCAAAGACTAAACCTTAGTGAATAGCATACAGAGCCAATTATCGAACTGTACCTACGTATTATCGAACGCTCGCGAGGCCTGCGAGGGCTACGTAAGTATACGGCGGAAAACGGAGATATACAAACATTTCACGCGGGCCAGTTCATCTCTCTTTCTCGGAGATTTATGCGGATAAAAACTCACCCGGTAAGGCGTTTTTACATCCCTCTATCAACCTAGAATAGCTGTATTTTGTCCCGCCAGATATCTTGGTTCATCTGGATTTTGCTATGCAGCGCAAGAGGTGCTCTTTTGCCAAGAGAAAGGGCGCAAAGTCTGCACCTGCCAGTCTTCGTTGCGTGTGTAACAATCGACCTAAAAGTGAAAAGGCTGGCTGGAGGAGTCTATGACAACTGCCATTAAAGCTGTGCAAGAGGGACGGTCAATTTTCCAGGCCGCTCGTGACCATGGAGTCCCCAAGACCACGTTGTACGATCGGGTCAGTGGTAGAGTAACGCATGGCACAAACCCTAGCCCCCAACCTTACTTTAATAACCAAGAGGAAGAGGAGCTTCGCACACACCTGAAGCACTGTGCAAGGGTTGGGTATGGTAAGATGAGAAGAGATGTTTATCCATTGTTGAGACTGCGGCCTTGGAGAAAGGTGTATTGTGATCGAGTCGAATATCACAGGGATGGTGGCGTTGATTCCTTGAGCGACAGAGGGATCTGTCACTTGGTCAAGGAGACACAACAGCACACGTGCGCATGAAGGCCATGAACAGGGAGACTATCGACCATTATTTCTCCCTTCTACATGATACATTGTCTACCAATCAATCGCTCGACAAGCCGGCACAGATCTACAATGTAGACGAGAGTGGAGTGCCGTTTAATCCTCGACCTCCAAAGTTGTCTCTCCAAAAGGGCGATATATGAAAAAGGGTAGATACCGGTGTGTTCTGGGTGCAAAGGTCAAATAACCATTGTTGCATGTGCAAATGCAGCAGGGCATGCAATCCCCCCAATGGTATTTTCAATGTGTTTAAACTCAACTCAACATGGACCAAGGGAGAGGTCGTGGGCACGAAGTACGGTTGTGAGTGCCAATGGGTGGATCAACACTGACTTGTTCGGGGCGTGGCTTATCGAACATTTTATTCCTAATGCGTCTCCTCGCGTCCTCTTTTTCTTCTCTTAGATGGTCACAGCACCCATTATCAGCCGCAAAGTAATCATATTCACCAGGGAACAAGAGTGTATAATACTCAGCCTGCCTCCGCACACGACACACGAGTCACAGCCATTGGATGTTGGCGTCTTTGCTCCTCTCAAGGTCCATTGGAGAAGGGTTTGCCACGATTTCTACCAAAACCAAAATAATCGGGGAAGATCATCAACAAGTTCAACTTCAGCTCCCTATTTTCCCAGCATGGTAAGGGACTGTCACTCCCATTAATATAATAGCTGGGTTCCGTAACGCTGGAGTGTTTCAGAAGCAGTTACAATTTCGGCAAATTCTGACAACACGACCGAACCACATGTGCGGAAGACAGGGAAACATCTCCATTGGTGTCACCAAACAGCCCAGCTGTAGAGATAGTTCCCGGAACCTCAGATGATGGGACTACAGAGGCTGACGGTGGTGACCCCCACACTCCCAAGACAGCCGCTACACAAATCGATGCACACTCACAACTGCCGTTAGTGATGTACGCACTCCTGAGACAAACAAAACTGCAGAGATCTCTGTGACTGACCCTGGTAGTGTGCCTGGACCCTCCTCCTCACATGAACAGCAGCGTCGATTTCAACTTCAATATGAGGAAGGTTTTGATGTGCCTGGAGATATGGACTATATCCGTTGGCTCCGCCTTAACCACCCTTATTCCCCACTTCTGAGTCGTCCAACAGAGGCACAAACTAGTGCGCCATCAGGTGAATCCCTTTTTTGTCACTTTTCAGACCTTGCTGTGCTTGATGAGATTCCTGTTGCTTCCGCTCCATCTGAAACCACAAAAACGGCTCCATCCACTTCAACAATTTCTAAGTTTCTTATCCCTCCTAAGTGTCAACTCCTTCCGGACGAAAGGGAGAGCTGCCGCGAGCTCGTCTGTTAACTAGTGCCACACCCTTTGAGATGCTAAAAGAGAAGGAAAGGAAGAAGCAAGAGGAAGCTGAGATGAAAGGAAAAAAAGAGGAAGGAGAGGGAGGAAATGAAGAAGAGGAAGGAAGAAGAGCAAAGGGAAAAAGCTGAAGAGCGAACGAGAAAGCAGGAACAAAGAGCAAAACAGAAAGTCGAGAAAGAAACACAGAGGGCGAAGAAGGCAAAGGGAAAGCAACCTGCATCTGTTGGAGCAAAGAGATGTCCCAACACTCGAAGTGCTATACCATTAAATTTCCACGAATGGAAAGTTCCTCGAGTGAAAAGGTCAATGACAACAAATGCTGTGTGTGCTTTAATTTGTACGAAGATGATCAATCTGGGAAGGATTGGGTGGCCTGCGCATGTGGAAGGTGGCTTCATGAGGACCGTGCAGATAACTGTGTAATAGACAGTGACAGAAACGAGCATCTCCGTCTTACGTCTGAATCACCTGTAATCTTTGTCACTTAACATTTCTTCAGTCCTTCCTATCGAATTTGGTTATTTGTTTTATTTTCTTACTGTGCACATTTATAATTGCTGCATACATATTATAATGGCGAATACATACGTAGCTACATATATAAGGATTGTTACAGTGCTGTAGCTGTACAAAGGTAAATTATGCGTGTTTGAGTAGGTGGGGTTTTTCCCCAGTGTTCGATAATTCGTGATGCGCGAATGTATGCGCGTTCGGCGATCGGTATCGGCGTTCGATAAACGGTACCGCAACATTGCCAACGGCAAAGAGCTGCGCTCTAAATGGAAAACCAATATACGTACAGACCTTTGCGAGTCGTGTAGAGCATGGATTAGGGTTTGCAACGGTACCATAACTGAATTCAGGGCATGTTCCTGGACTGAGCTACAAGCGCAGGTACACAACTCGTTCGATAATTGGCTCCGTACGCTACGTTCAAGCCAGAACAGATTACTGTAAGAATACTGTTAATAACTGTGAGGAATTCCCCGCAACTACTCTGTGATATCGCCTCAGAATTCACTAGCTCCGAATTTTGAATTTTGGCACGTCCGAACCAAACCCTACCATCCGGCTTCAAACGGCCTGGTGGAAAGGGCTGTAAAGTCGTTCATGGAAGGGTTCAAACACCTTCAGAGAGGATCTATCAACACAGGCATATCTAGATTCCTCTTCAAGTACTGTTTAACTCATCTACCAGGGTTCTTCGGTGGAACATATGTTTTACAGAAACAGCACTTTTGAGTGTGTATGTGTCGTTTGAATAAGTGAACCAAGCCCTGGTAGCAACAGCAGAAGCTGCACTTTTCTTTGTCTTTTTGTTAGTATTTTACGTTCATCAGTAGCATGCACACCTTTCACATGCACTGTTTGTGGACAGACATATCATTATATTACCTACAAACACGTTCTGGTTATACTGTATAGAAATTTTACGAACGCACCATTCACTGCAATATTCGAGAGAGCCTGGAATGCGGCAATTCCAAAACCGAGTCTCTCGTTGTAGCTCTGAGAGGTCCTCAGATCCCTGGAGTACAGGTCCACCTCATAGTCCTCCATGGCAAATGCCCGCACTGTTCTCACATTGCTCAGAGCCTCCTGTGCAACACACGTAGATACAGCAACCTGCGGTGGTGGAATACAGATAGAGAAACAGCAATAGCACAAAGTAATGCTGAAGGTATAAAGCAGAGACGCAAGACAGGGATGACATAGTGAATACATCCGCTTGTATCCAAGTAATTTGCGAGCTGTTAAGTATGGAGTATCGTATAGAGGATTATGGCTACAGTTGAAACTGACATTGCTGGCTCCTGACAGACAAAGTGACACAAATCAGTCTCATGTTCTGTGTGTGGTTGGTGCCTCCTTCAGGCAAAACAGGACCAGATAAAGATAAAGGGATGGCCTCATGTACTATCTTATCTGTGTATGACCCCTTGACCTTTTCTTTGTCATGTTTTTAGCCATCTCTTTTTCACCCCTTCAAGAAATGCTATTTTACCGTTGTACATAAAGTATTCAGTGATATGACAACACAATATACATACATTATGCGACTAACAGTAATCACCTGTTGTTGTGTGCACTGTCGTGACCATTGTCTCAACGGTGGCACCAATTAGAGAGCCGACTCCAATGACGACAGGGAGGGCCACGGCCACCACCCCTGCCATCTGGGGAGATATCAGGTAGAGGGACACGAAACAGCCCAGAGTCTGGGGTGGTGCTTCGCAGACCCTGGTGATCACCATCTTGAAGGAAGCTCTTGAAATCTTGTACATCTGCGTCAGTCTGCAGGACAACATAATCCATCACATGCAGGGGGGAGGGGGGCTAAATAAAAGTTGCAGCAGTGGTGGCACAAAAACCTTAGCAGACTTCATAAGGCACTAGAAAGCGTATTTATGGCAGTATGGCGGTTTAGCACCAACTGCGACATGAAAAAAAAACTTTGATTGATGTGTCACCTACGAAATGCTTTATGAAAACAATACCAACCTTCCAACAAACTCTTCAGGACACAGGACAGGGATCCCAACATCGTATGCACCGTACGGTTTGAAAGGAAAGTAAAGTGTCTGTGAACACAATCCTGGTAATATTTTTGTCACGTAGTGGGAGGGGTGTGAATCAGCCCACAACCATGCAAGCCAGTTTAGTATATAATACAAGCCAGCAATGGAAGCATACCACGATGGCACAACTTCAGTGACTTGCATGAAACAGATGTTACATCACAATGCCATGCGACAGTGTGACTATGTGACAAAAGCTACACTTCGTATGGAGTGACATATTGACATTCCTAAGTGTGACCACGTAGTGCATATGTAGCCACACAAGCGTAAACAATTGATCATCTTCATGTAAATATTCTCGGCAATAAATAGTGTCTACCTGTTGACCAGTTCCCCTGTTCTGTGGGTGTCAAAGAAGGAGATGTGGCTCTGTAGCAGAGAGAGTGGAAGAGAGAGGTCCTCAGTCTGACAGACACCTCTCCCAGGTGGGACAGGAACGAGATGTAGAGGAACGTGAAACATCCCTGTGGCAGTGCAGCAGACGACACGGTTATACCTAACGTGGTTTAGTTTAGTATACTATAACGCACTATCATTGCCACAGTTATTAGGAATCAGTAAAAGATACTACTGTATAGCGGGAAAAGTATCGAGGGAGGAAACTTGTGCATTTTAGTTTTTGTAGATTGTCAGTGTTTCCACAGATTAGTAACTACCGGCCGTTCCGCCCGGATTTGAAAATGCGAACCATGGGCGTGTACAATTATTGCGCATGTGTAAAATGCAACTAGCGTGATTACACTGTGTGCAGTGAAGCTCTGCTTATAGAGTAGCACTGAAAGGCTTTAGGCCAGTAGGGTATTTCCCAACAGGAAGTGCCTTGAAAGGTGGAGATAGCAAGTAATATTATTTTCAGCAGACAGCTGAGGGTAATATGGTATATAGGAATGTGCACGCGCACGTATTTGGCCTCGTGCCTGCAGCCAATGCGTAAACAGGTCCGACTGAGGCGCTCGTGCGCGCGCTACTGACTGCGCGCGAAGCCAGACTTCCTACGAATCTGCGTGCACGGCGGAAGCTAGTCTTCCTACGATGACGGAAGTTACATTCCTTTGGTGACTAATTGACATTCCTAAGCGTGACTAATTGACGAGTACGTACGTACGTACGCATATCGCGAGGAATACAACCGGAGTAGTTTCCTCGCACTAATGGACTCGGCAATTACCCTGCGGGAACACTGATTGTGCATGGTAAATTTTCACGAGCTGGTCTGCAGCACAAATGAACCATCTACAAATTTTACAGAGGAAAACCACCATGTTCGTGAAACAGATATGGGGTTCACCTCACTCAGAGAGCATAGGACATGAGACGCACACCTCCGAATAGTCCACACTCACCAATCCGAATGTGTCCCACTAAAGGCCGTATAGGGACATACTGAGTGAGGTGAGAGGGCACCATAGGTGGAAGAGCTGGGAGTGACAGTCTCTCCAGGTAGGTCCCCAGCACGTGCCTCCAGGAGTGAAGCCAGCCACCACATTCACCAGCTCCCATCTCCAGTGGGATCTGTATGTTTGAGAACCGATACCACCAGAGCTGCACTGCGGGGGAGCAATATAACCAACATCAATATTATAATGCACAACCATGATTAATGCACACAATGTGCCAAAAGCCAAAACACCTATACCTTTGAATCACTCTACGTGATGTTCTTACACCTACATGGTCAAGTGTGCCAGGCATATAAGTATAGTACAACGGTGAATGACACTAGTGGGCTAGCGGCACTCAAATGAGCTAGCCTCTGGTCTTTCATCACACAGGTATGCTGTATAGATAAGCAGACCCGGGACTACACCAAGCCAATATACCACCGACTTAGCTTATACCACAGCCTCTTAGAATTTAGAGTTGATGGACCATAAGGTTTGGATTGAAGATTGACAGAGTGTGTCAGGAGACAGGTACAGGTGAAATATACATCAATGATGTGAGAAAATTTTGCTTTCAAACTAGCTACCCTTCATCAAATTTTATGTCATCACTTCTAGTGAGTCTAAGTAGTATGAGCTATAACTAAACAGTCACACAGTTAATTGGTTGCAAAGCGAGCCTGCATGTACTGAATCGTGAATGTGCTTGATTTGCAATCCATGTATCTACTAGCCCGTGTCAGACTCTCCGCGAGCTACCAGTGGGAGACCATGAGTAAATGCATGCTAAGCCTAGCTGGTATCGCGCATGTGCAGTTCGCGAGGTGTTTGCACTTTAGTATAGTGCAATCGTGTCGCTGCGAATTGCTGCACATACATATACAATGCACCTGTGTAGGGAGTCTCGTGTTCGCTTGTGCAGAATGTGTCCAATCCTTACTAGCACTAATATCGAGAAAGCGGGCCAACAGAGTCGGATCGCATCACTCCATAGGTGCTGTAGAGGTTCGGAGCGTCACAGATTGGCGTGGCGTACACCTGATGCGTGTACATATGGTCCATGGCTCCGCTTACAACAACTACAACTATAGCAAATGTATAAATAGCAAGATATTATGTATACAGAATGTGCACCAGTGTGCAACACGTACATAATAGAAAAATCCGCCATTAGACAGCGAGGTGGAGCTAGCAACCGCTATTGATGGCTCGTAATGCTCCTGAGTGCATGGGCGTTGTTGTTGTAGCTACCATAGCAGGTACACAGCCCTATCATGACACACTCACTGCAAGAGCCAGGAGAAGCCACAGCCCATTCAGGAGAGAGAGTAGCTCAAGAAACTTTGACCAACGAATGGTAGTGTTCGTATGGCTGTGTTCCAGTCCCGAGTCAGCATCGAGGTTCGTGAGAGGGGTGTGTGGTGGGTACTTGTGTGTGCAGGGGAGGTGCGGAGGATGTGTGGCAGGGAGAGTCGCGGCGGGACCAGCGACACCTCAGCCTCAGAATGGACCGGAGCGCTGCTTCCACACACCATCCCAACACCTGCCACAGGTTGGGAGGTTCACTCTCTAATGATTGTAGCTTGCGGACTCTGTCAGTGATAGACTGGTATATTATAACGACACAGTTTGAAGTGCTGTTGAGAACCATGTTTTTCCTGCACAAAGTATGTGGCCATGATGGTGATGGTCCTCTAACAACACGACAGTTACTAGAGTAGGTGTGGCACCAGTGAGGGTGTACAATTCAGGGAAGAGCAGCGAGATGGGCACAAAATTACTTGTATGCACTGGGGACCACTGCCTAGCTCGACAATGATCATACTGAGCTACCCAAACCTTTAGGTGTTCATAGCACCTCCGACATATTTGGGCATTATGTCTCAATGGAACTTACTACATTTCACCCTTCGGTCTACACATGTGGGCACATATACCTCTTACTTTATACTTTCACCCTGTGAGTTTCATAGCTACCTCTGCCCTCTGGTCACAGCAATACACAGTGAGTCCATCCTGGCTCACAGATAATCCACAGAGGTGTCATAAACGAACCTTCTTCCGTAGGGGCACCCCACATCGCAAACAAAAGATATGCCTCCCTCGAATCAACGAATAATTATATTAATAGATTAGCTCGGTGACTGCAGGCAAACAGCAACCTCATCAGGTCCAACGCTCTGCTGATGATACGTTGGGAGGTGTCGGTCTCAATCATGCTCACCTGACATCCGAGCCGTATTTGCATCCAGTTGCAGTTCCGTATCACACGACTGGGTCCCTAGGATCACGAACAGACCACATTTGTGCAGAGAGGAGACCAGCCATGACGGCTCTCGCTAAAGTAGGCCGTGGTGCGTGCGCTCAGCGCGCGCGCTGAACTACCGACATTTTAAAATCGCTGCAGAGTCATCATCAAGGATTAGCACAGTATTAATCTCTTCACACGACTATACGCAACTTGTATGGACCCGTTAAACTACTTCACATACTAGCCCACAAAACCAATGCTACAGTTTACAAAGATCAGCTGCAGGTAAATAATTAGAAACTTCTTGTTCCTGAGACATGAAGCGATAGAGACTCATCGTTTCAATTTGTGCACATAATGTGGAACCCACACACAAAGTGATATGC